ATGGATGTCGTTGATGTGTTCGGCTAGGTTTAAAGGCAAAAAGCAACCGCATGTTAGTGCTGCTGCGACTAAAAGGCATGACAAAGCCAGAAAAAAGAGGTTCAAAACACACAAACCGGTTGAGCTTGACCTTTCTGACCAATACGACAACATGCCAAAAGGTGAAAGCCGACAGTGGTGGTGTAGTGAATGCCTTCAAGTTCTTGCTGGTTATGGTACCAACTACAACAGAAAGCTCCTCACGTGTGCCCAGGCAAAAAAGGACCCCAGAGGCCCCCGTAGAGTCAAGCTTGCGTGGAAACTTGTGCTTGAACGAGACCATGAACACAAACTTCAAGGAGCTGCCAGTAAATGGGTTCGCTCCATTGTCAGTTCTAGAAAAGATAGCTCTGGTAGCAAAGAGCCCCAACACAACAAGGCCCATGCTACTTTCAAAAAGAAAAAGCTGGTCTGGGATGGAATCGAGCCGCTCCCTGGCCCTTCTCATACGAGGCGCGTGAATACCGCTACAGCCAACACCTTAATCTGGACGATCAATGTTGGAGGAGCCCGTGGAGCCTGGCACGTGGTTAACCACTTGCTTGATGGTGGACCTCCCATCCTTCTCCTTCAAGAAGTTGCTTTGCCCAAAGAAGAGGCCGTGGGATACTCTGCGGCGGCCTTAAAAAAGGGGTATCACTGCTACTATTCAGGCTGCGTGCAAACCAGTCGTCGACCTCATGGAGGCTCCCTGGTCTTGGTAAAAAAGGGTTTCAAGTCGTCCCCGGCTTGGAACTTTGTTTCCACTGAAGGTGCTGTGCAAGCGGTATGGATCAGTGGAACTCTTGTGTGCTCTGTCTATCTGGCACCAGTTCCGGGTAATTGGCAAGTTGCTGACGAGACTGCTGCCACGTTGTTGTCACTCCCGCAAGAACAGCAATGGATACTGGGGGGGGATTTCAATTGCCTTCCTAGTGTTAACCCATTTCACTCAAACCTCGTCGGAGTTTGCTGTGAAATCCAGAGTCCCGATGGGCCCACGAGATGGTCGAGCGATAGGTGTATCGACTACTTCTGCAGTAACCAGAGGCTTACCCAGGTTTGCACCCTTGCCCACAAAGTGTCGGATCACAAAATTGTCTCTGCGTCTTGGCAAAAGCGCTTGAAACATACTGAGGATTTCGTGGTTCAGACCCCGCCAGTGTTGCCAAAATGTTCTGACGAGCAACAGGACAGCTTCACTAAGGCAGTTGATGAGGCATGGAGTGAAGAGAGTTCAGCCCTCCCCTGCGATGGAAGCGTGGACCTTAAGTGGGAAGCCCTTAACAAAGCCCTCTACAAAACACTGCTCAGTGCCCATGAAAAGTGTAACAACGACCAAGGTCAGAACTTGCGTCTTAGGAAATTTGCTAAAGGCAAACCGACCAAACCTGTTGTCAAGCGTAGGCATGTTGCTCACAGACCACCTGCTGGGCATTTCACTTCGTTTCAACAACGGGCCATTCGAAACCTGCTGGGAAGAATGATGGAATATAGGCAAAGGCACAGCTCCGAACAAAGCTCTATCTCTTCTAGGCACCAAACCCAGAAACTTTGGGAAAAAATCATCAGGGCTCCTGACTATGACCAACATTCGAGCCTCACGGAAAACATCCAAAAACTCGAAAAGAAGCTTGAGCAATGTGTTCAAGAAGAAAACAGTAACAGATTGCAAAGGTGGCGAGCCAGGACTGCTGAGGACCACCATGCCTTCCGTTGGTTGCGTAAACAAGCTACTGAAACTACCCATGCCATTGCAATGTCCAAGGATGACACGGTTGCTGATAGTGTGCAGATGGCGCTTCGCAAGCTCCAATCCTTTTGGAAAAAGGTGTGGGACAGACCTCAGCTTGACAGGCAAGCCGTCTGGAATGAAATGGTCAGGCACTTACCCCCAGCTGTCCACTCGAGACGATGGGCTCCTGTTTCCGGACAGGACCTCAAGCGTGCCGCCCTGAACTGCAAAGGCTCTGCTGCTGGCCTAGATGGCTGGACTACCGAAGAGCTATTGCACTTCTCAGACAAGATGTGGCAGGAACTTGCCCAGTTCTACCTGGAATGCGAAAACTGTAGTCGTGTACCGGAAGCTTGGAGACAAATCCGTCAAGTTCACCTAGGGAAGGGTAAACCTAGAGAGTCGAACGGTAGCATGCTTGCTCCAGCCTGATTTGGCGTGTTTGCTGCAAAGCCAGATATGGACACAAAGACACCCAGGCTTGGCTTAAGCATGCTATGCCTAACTACGTGTATGGAGGAATACCTGGTAGGGGGACTCAGGATGCTATAGGCCCGCTGCTCTACCAAACCCATAGGTATTGGTACGTTGGGACGTTAGACCTTGAAAAGGCGTTCGACCATGCTGACCCTAAGTTGGCTACCGCTGTCATGAAACACTGCGGTCTTGATCCCCGAATTGCTGACATGTTGTGTCACAATTGGACCAATCAGTGTAGATGGCTTCAGCTGCTTGATCAAACGATCCCCGAAAGCACTTCAGTCAACAACTCTCTTCCACAGGGAGATTCTTGGTCGATGGCAGCCATGAGTTTCCTTTTGTTGCCTGCAGCAAGGAACATCCAGGCCAGCAGCCCTGGAGTGCAGCAAACTATCTTTGCAGACGATAGAAGCTTTGCCTGTAAGACCGCAACGCAGCTTGCTACCGTCTCTAGGAAGTGGGGAGCTTGGATGCAGTATCTTGGTCTCCGTGAAAATGAAGTTAAGGCGCAATACTTTCACCCAACTATCAGGGGCCGAAGGGCTTTGGTTTCAGTGGGCCTTCCTCCACAAACCATCAGTGATTCCATCCAGGTCCTAGGATTCACCTTTCAAGGGGCTCAAGCTAGAAAGGCTGGTGACCACGAAAAAAAGCGTCTCAGGGAGGCAAAGGATAGGGCTCGCAAGTGCCGCTGTCTTCCTGGCTCCCTGGACAGAAAAATCCGAATTGCTCAGTACAGTGCTGTCCCCAAAATCATGTGGGGTTGGATTTGCAGGAGGCCCTCCTTGTCCGACGTGCAACCATGGGAGGCTGTTTGCAAGGTGCTTCTTAAAACTCCCAAAACTGCCAGTGTTCATTTGGCTAAGATCCTCAAAGGACACAGATGGGATGTCAGGTTCATGGCCACTTGTGAAGTCATGTCTGTTATGCATAGGTTCGTCAGGACCTCCGGTACGGTGCTTGAGCCCTGGAGACGTGCCAAGTCGGGGTGGGTTGGTGCCTTACGTCGTGGCATGCGTGACATGGGTTGGTCTGAAACTCTTCGACCCTGGTCATGGAAACACGTCCCTCTCAATGCCAATATCTCGCTGCTGGATGGTGAAAGGGGCTGGACGCGTAACTTACCTCAAATTCAGCATATCCTTCGTGAATCCTGGAGGCACACCTGTTTTGGCAAGTGGCTTAACCAGGGTAGGATCGACTCTGGGAGGTGTCGGGGCCTCGTCTATGATCCAAAACGCCTCAAGCTTCTGCAGAAGAAGCAGCTCAGTTCACATGAGTTTGCTGTGCTCTCTGGAGCATCTGTTTCCCCTGCCAAATTCAAAGTGATGAATCCCAGAAGTGTGTTAGGGTGTCCATACTGTGGTTGCCCGCCGGAGCAAGCGACCTGGGACCACTGTACATGGGAATGTCGAATGGCCCCTCGGCCTCCTGAAATAACAGCTGCATCTTGTGGTGATGCTCTGCTGTCGCGACTTGGTTGGCCCACGGCCAGACGTGGAGCCAATTCTCATGACAGCAAGGTGCTGGCTGGCCGAAGTTCGTGCGACGACACTTAGGATTCGCAGGCCGTAGAAACCTGCTTGTTGATGCTGAGGCATGCCTAATGGGCTCCGCAACATGGGCTCTTGAGCATTTTGCTCTGCCCTTGCTTTCTTCTTTTCTTGTCAGGGCTTTTGTGGCTTTGTCCCCTTGTCGTCCCTGTCCAACCTCAATCACCTGATTTGTTGACTCAACTAAGGACGGTCTCGTCTCACCAACAGCTAAGGACATGGCCTTGCTTTCTTTCTTTCCCTTGTTGGCGCCTTTGGCGCCTTCGCCGGGCATGGCCCGTTTCCTCGTGGATTCGGTCTACGTCCTCGTCTACAGATTCTTTTTGGTGTGTGTTTGCTTTAGTTTTCGCACCTGCTGTGTTTCACCTCTAGTGTTGAGACCCACAAGAACGGCCTACTGCGCTGCTGATGTAGTAAAGAGGCGTCGGTTCAAAAAAAAAATCCCTTCCTCAGGCGCCGATTGGCACAGCACCACTAGAAGCTCAAGGATGGAGATCCCCAACCCAAGCCCAAACCCAAAACCAAACCCTAAACCCCAAACCCTAAACCCTGAACGCTGAACCCTGAATCCTAAACCCTGCTAGCTTGCACTTGACGCAACTCCTAGGTTTCAGTGAAAGAACCCTAACACCCCATCCCAAAACCGAAGGCTTGACCTAAATACGAACCGCGAAACCCTAAAAACCCGAAATCCTCAGCCTCAAGCCCGAAACCCGACACCCGAGCCCTAAATCTCAACCCTGAACCCTGGCTCTCGTGGTCATCGCATGCCGAAAAACCAGAATTTGCAATCTCAACCCATGCCAAAATGTCAGCGTCAGAACCCCTCCACGCGACCTTTAACCCAACACGCTCACCCTTAAACCCCTCCACCCTACCCCCTAAACAACGTTAAACTACCCAAGTTTGAGTCGCCAACAATGTAACTTGTCTGGGCTGCATCGCACAGTCGAACATTTCTTGCTCAAGTCCCTCGCCAGAATTTCTTGTAGAGTCATAATGAGGATGCCCCACGCAAGAGCCACAGACCCGAAACCTAACCCCTGAACTCAAAAGCCCTGCTGTCCTGACGTGAGTTCAATTCTCCTTCTCCATGAGCATAAGTGCAAGCCTCCCACACCATTTGTTATTGGCCGTTGATGACATTCTTGACTGGGTCTTCACTGGATTCTGGGCTGAATCGACATTCATGGTTTGAATGTCACGCAATAGGCATGTTTGATAGGTTCGGCTATGACATCATCCACTTCAATGTTGCAAAAGGTGAAAGTACAGTAGCACACCCCTGTTTTACCCCAAAGTGATTTTACTTGTGCACATCATGTTTTCCATCGAGTGTGCAATGACACAGGCGCTTTTGCTTGGAGTGGAAAAGTTTCGTATGGTAGCGGAGCTGTGAAGGTCCACCCTTGGGTACCTGAGCTCCGGGAAAGAGGCCTGGACCCTAGCCTCGACAGTAGGGCAGGCAGTGCCCCAGCTGTAGGTTTGTGCCTTTGAGGGTTGGATCCTCTTCATAGCTTCCTTTGTGCCTGGGCTGCTGGAGGCGGCCTAGTGGGGTGCAGACGGGCAGCTGGGCGGCCAGAACCTCCTTGTCTTTTACCACCGCGCTGTGGCACGACGGCGACGTGGGGCGGTTTGGAAGAAGCAAAGCAGAAGCTACGTGAGTTTTACTTTGAGCAGCTCTTGTTGCGACCGAAGCCGGAGAATCGAACCCAGAAAGGTTGGCAGAACATCCTGGAGTCAGCTCGCTTGAGTTTGGAGCCCAAGCTGGATAGACTGAGCAGGATCGAGGACGTTTTCGCTTTGGCTGAAAAGTGTTTGAACAAGAACCCGAGCATCTTGGAAGATTTTCGGTTCATCGCAACAGAGAACGTGTGCCGTGAAGCTGTAGAGTGGAGTGCTCAAGAGAACTTTGTGCACGCGACTGAAGAGGGCAAGACGTTTGAGCGTGACCTGGAGATCTTGTCTAGGTTGGACCAAGGCAAGAACACCGGAGCGAACGTGTTCGAGCAGTCGCTGGAGCCTCAAAGTGAACCACTTGACCTGACCGAGACCAGTGAGCCACCACCAAAGAGGCTGAAGTTCGAGGTGGCATTGAAGCAGTCTGAGGGTTCCGTTGAGCTTTGATTGCAGTCATGGCGTCTCCTCAAGGTCAATCCCAACCTTCCTCAGCCCCGAATCCGTTTGCACAGTCCCAGCCAACATCGCCTCAGTCTGCAACTGCGAGTGTGCCTCAGATTTTGGAAGCCTTAGGCAACATGGTGATGCAGGGCCAAGAGCAGAATCGTTCTTTCATGGGTTTGTTTCAGTCCATGTCCATTGAGCAGCAAAGACAGTCAGAAGAATTGAAAGAAGCGGTCACTCACCTTGGTTCCAGGAAGGAAGCTCCGACGGGGTGGACGAAGTTCATCCCTCGACCTGACCCTTTCAAGCCCAAAGACCGAGAAGAAGAGCTAACGCAATGGCAAGATTGGAGTTGGAGCTTCAAGCAGTGGATCCTTGCAATAAGCCCTGAGATGTATACTGCGATTGAAGAGGTAGAGCAGGATTTGAGTTCGCCTTGTGAAGAAGCCACTATGACCGACGATGCCATCCTACAGGGAAAGCAGCTGTATGCAATCCTCACGAGCATGCTTCGGGAAAGGCCTCTCCAAATCCTCAAGAGTGTCACCGGTGCCAATGGATTCGAGACATGGCGTGTGCTAAACAATGTGCTGGCACCCACCAATAAGACACGAGCGCTTGCACTTTTGGGAGCAATCTCACAGTTTCCGGCAATGAATCAAGGGAATCTCTTGGAGCAGGTGCTACGTCTGGAGGACCTCTTCCGCAAGTACGAGCAGGCGTCGGGAAAGCCAGTTCCGAATGAGATGCAGAGTGCAATCTTGTTGCGTGTTTTGCCTCAGCAAGTTCGGTCACACTTGACAATCACCATCGGGGACGATTCCACGTATGAGAGCATGAGAGACATGATCCTTCGGTGGGAGCGTTCTACACAGAAGTGGTCTTCGCAAATCGTGACAGGAGGGGCACCGCAGAAACCTTCGTATGATGATCCGAACGGCCCGAGCCCCATGGATGTCGATCGTGTGAAAGGATGGCCTAAAGGAAAGGGCAAATGGGGTAAAGGGGCTGGCAAAGGTGGTGGCAAAGATGGAGGAAAGTATGGAGGAAAGAACGGCAAAGGCAAAGGTGGCAAAGGAGGATATGAGAGTCGTCCAGGCAAAGGAAAAGGCTATGAGAAAGGAGGAAAAGGAAAACAGCCCTCGTGGAGCAGGAATGATTGGAGCAAAGGAGGAAAGGACAGAGGAAAGAAAGGAGGAAAGGGCAAAGAAAGGCTTTCTCATGATGCTTGTCGAATCTGCGGGAAGTCAGGGCATTGGGGCAATGAGTGTTGGATGAAGGACAAAGTTCGAAACGTCAACCAGAATGATACGTCGTCCGCATCGGGGAACAGTTCGTCCGCATCGAGCTCAAATTCATCGACCGGAACAGCAAGTGTGAAGCGTGTGTTTGATCTTGCAGACAGTGATCGACTCGATGTCCCGATGACAACGGTCTATGAGATGGACAGCGAGGGTTCAGAGTCGTATGTGTCAGACAATGAGTCATGGTGGTGCAGAGTGATCGAACATTCCATGGTTGATGGTGAGGATGAACTAGAAGTCATCGACTTTGCTTGGGAGACGTACGACGTCGTGGACATGAGCTTAGATGATGCATTGCTTGGAGATGAAGAATGGGTTGCACATGCAGAAGTAAGAGGGATCAGCAGCAGGTCTGACGAGGGCTACAGCGCTCTCTCTGAAGGGCTACCTCAGGAGGTGGTCTTGGATTCAGGTGCTGACCTCAGTGTGATGCCCCGAGCATGGTTGGAAGCAAATCTTGGAGACAGGGGTTCGAGTGCACCAGTTCGAATGGTCGACGCCCAAGGGAAAGAGATGAGGAACCATGGTAGCAGGAAGATCACCTTGGACCTAGGCCCAGCGATGATCCAAGAGGAGTTCTACGCGTCCGATGTTGGTGCGCCCCTGATCTCACTAGGGAGATTGCTGAAGAAAGGTTGGAGCCTCGACCACAGGAATGGACTCCTGCATCTGTGCAACGATCCCGAAGAGATAGAAGTGCCGGTCTCATTCCGAAGGAATAGCCTTGTGGTTGATGCCAGAGTGTTCATGGTCCGGGATGATGAGGTGAAAGAGCCAGAAGAAGAATGTGTTCGAGCAAGCAAAGAAGGTCGGATTATAGTGCAACCACATTTCAACATCCACGGACTTTCTCCAGGGTGGAATTTCCTCGACTGTGGTCCAGTGGTGATCCTTGCATCTTGAAGAGAGATAAGGTCCGCCTCGATCCTTCAGATGACATGTCAGTACATTTGTGGAAGTATCGCACGACTTTGGTGTTCAGACAGGAAGCGTGGGAGCTTGTGGACTTCCAGGAACCCCTGGAAAGCGTGGAGAACCTGAGTGAGGTGATTGAACATGGCGATGCAGCAGTCCTGATATTCACCATCATGCATCGTACGAAAGGTGACCCCGATCACTACGGCCTCACGCTCATTGCTGAAGCTGGAACTTCCGAGGCAGATGAAGTGAAAGATTGGCCAGTTGATCTTGATCTGTATGCCGAAGAGATGAGCGTAGCTGACCCGCATGAACAAATGAGCCCAATCGATCTCCCAGGTGTATGTGATCAAGATGGACATGAAGAACCGGTGGGCGCGAGTCCCGCCCCAATGTTGATCGGATGTGGAGAAGAAGACCATGTGGTAGTAGAGGGACTGCGGTTGAACGAGGATTCGAGTGCTCGAGAACTACGAGAAGCATGCAAAGCTTTAGGACTGGGGATGTCTGGTTCCAAGAAGGTTATGTTCCAGAGGTTGATGAGCCACTCAAAGAAGAGAGCACTGGAGGATGCGATGGCGCTGGAGAATGCGGCGAAACCTCATGAACATCAACCACGTGGAGAGCGACTTCCTAAGCAACCAACTGCTGATGAGATTGCCGAGCATGAGCTCACTCATGTACCGTTCAAGGAATGGTGCAGCTACTGCGTGAGTTGCAGATCGAGGAGAGATGCTCACCGCCAGGATGGAGAACAACATGACACCGATGGCGGGGACCCAATCATTGCATTCGACTTCTTTTACACCGATGTCACGGGAGGTGAACTAGACTTCATGCGAAGTGCTCCTAAGGACAAAGATGCGATGGTTGTGGTGGTGGCTGTGGACAAGACGACAGGAATGTCAAGAGCCATACCCCTAGAGTCGAAAGGTGACCAATCACTGGTGTATGCGGCGAAAGAAATCTTAGGCTTCATATCCTATCTGGGATATCAAGGCGTGGTGATCAGGTCAGACAATGAGCCTTCTGCAACAGCCTTGACCAAGATGATTTGTCACTCCAGGACGAAGTTGGGTTTGAAGACTGTGGCGAGACCGTCACAACCTCATGAGCATGCAACAAATGGAATGGCAGAGCAATGTGTCCAGAACATTCGAGATCTAGCGGCAACTTTGTTGGAACAGGTGAAGGCTCAATCGGGAACGGAGATTCGGACAAGAGATGAGATTGCAGGCTGGGCGTATGTGCATGCCTCAATGCTTCAGAACACGTTTGCAGTCAGAGCTGGAACGACTTCGTTCGAGAAGGCATTTGGCTTGGCCTACAATGGGAAGTTGGCATGTTTCGGCGAGGTGGTCCTGTTTGCGTTGAGTCAAGGCCATCGAAAGAAAGGACGCCCGAAGTTCGTGAAAGGCCTGTGGCTTGGAAAATCGCTGGTGAACGACATGCATGTGTGTGGAACAGCGCTTGGTTTGTACCTGTCAACAACAGTCCGGAGGCTGAATCCACAGGAAAGGTGGAGCAAGCATATGTTGAAAGAATTCCAAGGCAAACCGTACAAGTTTTCGTTGAGCAGCCTGGGAAAAGTCGTGATTCCTGCTATGAAAGACAGGACAAAGCCGAATGTGGTACCGGACATGCCAGTGATGCCAATGGAAGGACCAAAGGAGGCAGCGTTGAAGGCACCAGATGAGGCAGGATCTGACTCTTCAAGTTCATCATCGCAGTCAGGTGCAAGACAATCTAGCAATGAAGAGCCAGGAGGGGTTTCGACACCATCGTCACAGCATGCTAGCTCAGCCCTGTCGGAAGGCAGAACTGGTGATGGCGTGCGAGAAGAGATGGACATCGAGGCAGGAACAGGACAGAAGAGATCTGAGCCCGAACCAAGTGACAAGGAAGAAGATAAGCGTGGAGAAAAGCGACCGATGCCAGAGGAGAAGAACGTCCCGCTGAACGCACCTCCACTTTATGCTGGGAGCTCATCACCACCGAAGACCTCAAGGGTTTCAACCGTGAAAGTTGCAGATGCTGAGTACTACACATTGGATGAGCACCTAGAAGAGGAGTGGGGTGACATGGAAGAGTGGGAGATTTGGTCTGAGGTAGAAGATGGAGAAGAGAGCATTGATTGGGGAGAGCTTTGGCGTAACAGGACTGAGAATGAGGGGCCTCCAGAACTGTCGGAACACGAGATGGACCAAGTAGACGCTGAGAGCAGGAAGACCGAAGTGAAGCGACTCCTTGACATGGGAGTGTTGGAGCCCCAAGCACCAATCCATCAATTGCAAAGCTGTTGCCGGCCCTCATGGTTTCCCGACCAGGGTGGCAGATGGTTAGCTTCGACGTGAAGGATGCTTTCCTCGAGGTGAAGCAGCGTCAAGAGCTGTATGTGATGTTGGACGGCCTCCCGTATAGAGTCCATCGTTGCTTGCCAGGACAGCAGGCAGCGTCTGCGTGGTGGGGCGAACAGCTGGCGGCAGACCTGGCTACAGCTGGCTTGGTACCAGATGAAGCATGTCCTGCAGCGTTTGGACAACCAGGTTTGGGTGCAACAGTTCATGTCGATGATGGCTTGCTAGCTGGAACCCCAGAGAACACGCGAAAGGTAACTGAGATCCTGGAGAAGAAGTACAAGTTGGAAGTCTCAGAACCCGTGAAGAACATAGGTGATAGCCTGAAGTTCTTGAAGAAAGAGTTGCTAATCACAGAGTCTGGCATTGAGGTGCGAGTCGACAAGAAGTACTTGGAGAAGATTTGTGGGGTGTTGGATCTGAAGAGGCCAAGATTAAGGAAAACACCGTGCAGTCCAGAGATTGCCAAGATAGATGAATCAGAACCCTTGCAGGAGTTGGAGGCTTCGAAGTTCAGAGCGGCAGTCGGAAGCTTCCTGTACCTCAGCCCAGATAGACCAGATGCCCAATGGACCATAGCGCACTTGGCAAGGTCGATGAGTCGGCCAACGAAGCGTATGTGGAAGCATGCCTGTCACCTAGCAGAGTACCTGTTGGCCACAGCTGATGTGTGTCTCACGTTGGCATGGACGTATCCGGGAAGGTCAAGTTTGGATGAGAGAAAGCTCAGTCGAGAGGAGGCAACAAGGCTGCAAGTAGAGAACAGTGGCAAACCTGATTTGGTTGAGGGCATGAGCGATAGTGACTGGGCTGGACATTGGACGAGGGTGTCATCGACGTGTGGCCACGTCTACTTGAATGGGAACGCGACCTTCAGCTTCGTGAGGAAGCAAGGCTCGATTTCTCTGTCGTCATGCGAAGCAGAGCTCATGGCATGTTGTTCCACGGCAGCAGAACTGATGTATGTTGGGCACGTGATCAAGACGCTTTCAAGCACACCTTGTCGGTTGTTATGCCGGCTAGACTCGTCTAGCGCCCGATCATTGCTCCAAAAGCGTGGCGTGTCGAAAGTGCGTCATCTGGAAACGAAACTGCTATGGGTACAGAGGGAAACTTCGAGGGGAACCTTGGAACTGGGAACAGTGTCCACGTACCTAAATACTGCTGACATAGGTACAAAGGCGCTAAGCTCAGAACGCTATGGATTCCTGATGTCTCGCCTGGGCTATGGTGGCTTCGAGTGTCTGAGCAAAAACAAGCAGAAGTATGAGCAGATGAATGCCAAGGTGATTCGTTTGCTGGTGATGATGGATGCAATGAGAACCGCAAATGGAGCAGAAGCCTTTGGAAGAGATCGTGAGCTTGAGCAAAGTGGCATCACGATTATGAGCGCCTTGAGCCTGGAGATCAAGGTAAACCAATGGGGTGGTGTTCTCCTGGTGGCTGCGGGCTTGGTGATCCTGATGACCGTGCTGTACATGGTATGGCAAATGGCATGGAAGGAGAGACGACTCGAAGACCTACAGCGAATGGCGACGACGAGTGATCGAACAGAAGATGAAGAGGAATGGGAACATGAGCCAGATGAAGAAGGTGAACCACCACTATGTGAACCAGATGAACCTCTACGAGCAGATGAACCTCGACGACCAGATGAACCTCGGCGACCAGATGAACCTCGACGACCAGATGAACCTCTTCGAGCAGATGAACCTCGACGGCAAGATGAACCCCAAGTTCGAGTACAAGCTCAACCTGTGCATCAAGGTGGACATGGGTGGAATCAGAGACAAGTGGCACTGATTGGCAACACAGGCCTGCGGTTCCATAGTCAAACGTGTGGAATGGTCCGGAAGGCACATCGTGACGGGCGACATGTTCGGTTGCTCACTCGTGAGCAAGCAGTCCGTGAAGGATACGAAGGATGCAGGCAATGCAACCCGTGATGAAGACCCAGATGGAGCGAGATGACCTGAGATGCAGCTGCGAGCCCAACTGAGCTGTGAAGCAAAATGCGAGACGTGTGCGACTTTGAGTCGTGTTTAATCTTGAAAGATTGCAAGTCCAACTGTTTCCATCCTCGAATGGGGAAGATGCACAGGGATTTGAAATCTGTGGATATGTGTTTGAAGTTTCTCTCGAGTTCTACCGAGAATGCTAGTGCTGGCAGTTTTCCTTGCAAAGATTTTGGACAGGTTCTGTAGTACACTCGTCTGTACGACGAATGTCCTAAGGAGGGGTGCAAAAGGTGAAAGTACAGTAGCACACCCCTGTTTTACCCCAAAGTGATTTTACTTGTGCACATCATGTTTTCCATCGAGTGTGCAATGACACAGGCGCTTTTGCTTGGAGTGGAAAAGTTTCGTAAATGTACTTCGCAACCTAGCAGCCTATCATGCAAAGTTTAAGGTTCCAAGACGAAGGTGTTTTAAGACAAATGGCTGCGTGGTAGGGTTAAGGGTCTTCCGTATGCGTATACAAACATGTATACATACATACATACATTCATACATACGTACATACGTACATACATACATGCATACAGATAATGTGTGCGTGTCCGCCGCCGCCAAAAAGACACAGGTCAGTGCCGGCGCCAGTCCTGATACCCGCGGTTGCTTTTACAGCCACAGAATCCGAATGTGTTCGAATCTGGGGCATCTTCGACTCTGTCAGAGAGATTTCCCATCGTCTTAAAGCTGCCGGGCATGCTGAGCGGTATCGGGCTTTCTTGGCCAAAGGCAACTACCGCAAGTACCACTCAGCCTTTCACAGCTCTCCGGCCACCTCGGGTGTGCCGCGCGTGGGCAACTGGTGCGTGGGTGCTGCGGCGACCTGTCTGCTTCCCGAGGTCCACGTCTTTTTCCCAGGAGACCAGCCGGAAGCTGTGGGAGACGCGACAGAGGCGTGGTTTGGCCGGGAATGTGGTGCGACGCTCCCTCATGAGCCTCTCCAACTTCCACCTCCTGAAGTGGGTCTCGAAGCCTCCCGATATGAGTGGAAGCAGGACTTCTGTGCGCTGCTCAACCTGACCCACTCTCTCCACGAAGGTATTCCGACAGGCCTGTATAGGAAGCTTCACTGGTGGGACTCCTTAGCAAATAGGGAACTAGCCTTTGCCCAGTTTTTTCCGCGCCCGAGTGGGCTGACGGCCCCCCAAGGGGACCGAGGCGCAGCTGCAGAGCCACTGCGGCCAGGGCGTCGTCACTTTCTCACGCCTGACTCAGACACATCAGCTTCAGTGGCATTTTACGAGATGTGCTGTAGGCAGTTGCTTCGGTTAAAGCTGCGAGTCACACTCGTAAGTTCCTCAAGCCTCTGTCAGGTACGTGGACTGTTTTCGCGGAATCAGGCATGGTGGCTCTGGCCTTGGTTGCTCGCTCTCATGTTCAAGCACTTTCTCAAAGTTAACTTCAGCTGTGTCAGTTATGCAATGTGCCAACGCACGTCGAGCCGTCCCGGTCCCAAGTCCGGGGCTAGACACACCTATGTGTTTCTTCTCGTGATTTTCTCGACCTTGGTGGTGTCTAGTGGTGTGAGGGTTGGTGGTCAGGGTACCTCCCCGCCACCCGGAGGGGCTGGTGCTCCAGGTCTCTCTGTTAACAAGGCTGTCCCGAAGCCTAGAGGTAGGAATGTTCCTGACTTGCTGGCTTCTCCCCCTACCTTCAAAACTGCAAAACGAGCCTTCCAGAGGGCTCTGCGTCGAGCGCAACTTCATGGTACCACCATGTATCGCGGCCGTTGTCGTACTTTACAGGAACTGGGTGGCCGTCCGGGAGCTGTGTTCACCTCCAAGGGTCTGCCAGGTTCTTCAACTGCTGCTCCCTCCCGCTCCCCCTATGCGAAGCATGGCCCCCGACTTACCGTGCTTACGCTCAATGTGGGCGGTCTCTCGCAGGACGCGTGGGACGAAGTGCAGATCTGGATACATGACCAATGCACTCAGGACATCGTCCTCCTGCAAGAAACACATTGGTCACACAGCAATATGTTTTTTCTCCCTCGCTACATTGTGATCCATTCGGGTACTGCTGGCCATCGTCATCAGGGGTGTGCGATCTTACTATCTAAGCAACGATTCACACCCTCCGGAGTGCGGTGGGCGCCCATAGTTCCGGGCCACCTCCTTCACGTGCGGGCCTCTCTGGGAACAAAGCCGGTGGACGTAGTATGTTTGTATCAGCACTGCTGGAGTCACAACGGGGATACTGCCTCGCTTCTGCAACGAAGGGAGCGTCTCTGGGTACAGCTGGACAAACTTCTCGGAGGAGTTCCGCGGCGAAACGTGTTGGTGTTGGGCGGGGATTTCAATGTCGGCGGCCGTATGGATGGTCAAGTGTTCGGCCCAGGCACTAAATCTGCCAGAGCGCCCCCTCCCGACCAGCCACTCTTTCAGAGTCTGTTGCAGACTCACTCCCTGCAAGCAATAAACACTTGGAAGAGTGGCTTACGTGCCTGTACCTTTCAGAATGGAGAAACGTTCACTCAAATTGACTTTCTGATTGGCCGTGCGCATCAGGTTGATGATATGGCTCGTGGCGCTGAGTCGGACCACAACTGTCCTGTCTTGAAGTGGCGGTACGGCCCTCTGCACCACCCGGTCTATGGGTCGTTTCCTGCCTGTTGGTATGCCACTGCGCCGGCCACTCCCAGTGTGCCGAAACAGGCAAAGCTTAGCCTTGCCCAAACTCCTGAAGCCATTCGAGCCTTCCGCGAAAAACTGGCGCTTGCGTTGCCGAACGCTGAAACGCCGCAGGAGCTTAACGACTGTCTTCAAGAAGCGGCGACGCCTCTGATGGTCGAAGAGCCTCGCCCTCCTCTCTCGCATCTTCCACAGGTGCGCGGCTTAGTGGGAGCAATGTGGGAGGCACGGCGTCGTGCTCTCGAGGTTTCTTGGTCGACTGGTCTTTCAGTGCTTCCTCTGAGCCTGTCAAATTTTTGGGATGTGGTGGTGCGACTACACTTCACAGCCCGCGTCAGAATACAGCTGCGCAGTGTCTGGCAGGGCTGGTGCTCGGCTGCGAGATATCTTGCCCTGCACAGGGCGCTGCGAAAGACCAGTCGTAAGGCGAGGCGGCAAGTGATGGACGACCGCATCTCCGCTGCGGCTCAGGCAGAACAACAAGGGGACCGCTCCGCTCTTTTTGCGGTCGTTCGAACGTTCATGCCCAAACAACCGCGGATGCGGACCCAGCTTCGGGGTCCGGAAGGCGAGTTGCTCTCCTCTGCAGCTGAAGCAGATGCATATGCGGCATACTGTCGTACGGTGTATGCTCCTGCTCTCTCTGCGCGGGAAGAGCTCCCACCGCTGGCACCGCCAGCTGAAAACACTGCGCCGCCCGTGTCCCTAACCCTGGAGCACGTCCTCCAGGCTCTCCGGTCTTTCTCCGCGCGAAAAGCAGTTCCCCGTCATCTGGCTCCCATCCTGCTCTGGAAACTCGGTGCTGATCTTGTAGGCCCTCACCTCCATCGGCTCTACTTGCGGGCCAGGCCTCCAGCGGCTGTTTTCCCCCCGCTTTGGGCCGATTCCTGGCTGACTTGGTTGCCCAAGCAGGGGAAGACGGGTACCACCCCAGCGGAGCAACGCCCCATATCCCTGACGGATTGCGGGGGGAAGGCGGTCACCAAGGCGTTCACCTCCCAACTCCAGCCCACTCTTCGGGAGGTTGGCTCCGTGGCCGCAATTTGCTTATCTCGGTGGTCGATGCATTGAGCACGCCATCGCCAGAGTAACGGCCCACTGTGTGGCAGTTCGGGATCGTCTTGCTTCCGGAAGAGTGACCCTGAAACAGCGCAGGGCCGGCAGTGGCCCACAGCGCCAATGTTATGGGGGAGTTATGGTTCGTGTTGACTGCTCCAAGGCCTTCGACACGGTCGATAGGCAGGTCCTTAAATCGGAGCTGTGCAGCGCAGGAGTCCACCCTGAGGACGTTGACTTCATAATGCGCATGCACACGGCCATCTCCTATCACCCTGTGCCCAAGGATCCCCGCCGCGCGGTTCACAGCACACGGGGTGTTAGGCAAGGCTGCGCTTTAGCTCCATCTTTATGGTCGCTCATCACCATTGCCTTACTGCGTGCCCTCGCGGAGAAATGCGGCACCCAATGGGTCACCGACCTTGTCACTATGTATGCGGACGATCTCCTGGAAACCTGGGAGGTGTACGCCAGAAAGGACCTGGATCTGCTCATGCAGGCTGTCAGTCAGAGCTTTCAGCTGCTGGAAGCGCTCGGACTGCAAGTCCAGCCATAGAAGACCAAAGTGGTCCTCGCGCTTAGGGGAAGGCAAGCGCGCCTTTGGATACGTCGACACACCTTGGACACCCCCGATGGCAGAGTCCTTCTTATCCCGGCCCCCAACGGGAAGCCGCACCATCTGCCAATTGTGTCCTCCATCAAGTACCTGGGGGTAGTTCTCAGTTATGGCGACTTTGAGGGCGCCACGCTGACACATCGCCTGTCCTGCGCAGAAGCAAATCGCTCTCGTATTCTCCGTATCCTTCACTCCCGATCGGTTAGCTTGCGGCGTAGAGTTCAGCTGTGGCGGGCGTGCGTCTTCTCCTCAGCCGTGTATGGCCTGCACGTTGTTGGCCTTCGGCCCAAGCATCTCCGCAGGCTGACCGTTGCTCTGGTCAGACACCTTCGGGCAATCGCTGGCAGTTTCGCGCACATCCACCACGAAGCTAGTAGAGCTCTCCTTGACAGACTCGGCGTGGCGGACCCCCTGGAGGCGATCCGGCAGAGGAACCAAACTCTAGTCGAATCTAGCTGGAGTACCAAAGACCCGCAGGTCTCTCATCCCAGGGTTCTAGGTCGACTCCGAGTGGTAAATGAAGCCCTGCGACTCTCAAGTTCGCTTCGGGCCCAAACTGAGGCTGTTCAAGGCGAGCTCGTCGATCAGGTGCTGCCCTCTCCGCCACGATCTCGAGAGGGAGCTCTGGGGTCAGCTGGTACACAGCTCGGGCGGGCTTAAGGAAGCTCTCTTCCACTGCTGGCATTGCGACCTGTGCTTCGCAGAATTGGCTGCCTTGAAGCGTCATTTGCAAGATGCCCATGATGCTCACACCCTGCCGGTATCCTCGGAAACGGGTTTTCGGGAACATAGTGCGGGAGGGATGCCGGTCTGTGCACATTGTCAAGCGGATCTGGTGTCGTGGAATAATTTCAAGCGCCACCACCGCTACAGACACTGTCCAGTGCTGTGGCTGCGGACCCAACAGTCTCAAGATGTCTCCCCTCCTCAGGACGATCCTCCCCCCGTCCCTCCAGTCCCGATGGAGTCATCCACTCTTTCTGCTCCTCAGGCTTGGATTCCTCTCGCAGACTGGCCACAGCTCCGCGACGCCCCCATGAGTCAATGGCTTGAGATCTTCCGAATTCCCTCGGCAGCTCAGATCTTACGTGAGGGCTGTGCCCAATGTGGGCAATGGCTGGTCAGTATAAAAAGCATCAAACTTCACTATAAGCACGTGCACCCAGACATTTACGCCGCGTGGGCCAAACCGGCTGCTGCTGATTGTAGGAGATTTGGACGGGTGCTCTCGCCGTGCCCGCACTGTCACCAGTCGATCACACGCACTGATATTCACTGTAGCACTTGTCCGGCTCTGTGGCAGGCGAGACTAGTTAGCTATGTCCGAGGAAGAACTCATCGACCAGGAAATGGCGGAGGTGTTCGGCAAGCGGCCCCATGCAGAAAAGCCGGCGCAGGAACGTCCCCCCAAATCTCGGATGCCGTGGGGAACGGGCCGCCAATCCAGGGGGAAGGGCACAGGAAAGGGCAACTCAAGCAGCGGAGGCTCTCTTTCGCGCCCCAGAGAGGAGAACGCAGTCCGCGACAGGGAGGAGATGACGCTCCGGATGGGGGCAACTGCTGCTGCGACACGCCCGCCTGCGCTCGGACCACACGGTCATCGTCACATACCGCAACGACGACACCCCGGAATGCCTCCTGCCCGCCCTCCTAGAGAAGGCCGAGACCTGGCGCCGGCTGAAGCTCGAGAAGTCGCCCAACCTCACTCGGACACTTCGGCAAACGCTCCTTCTCTACACGCTTCAGGAACTCCGGGAGAGAGCTATGATGCTGGAGACCTCTGCAGCACAGGCGCAGGCAGATCGCACCCGCTTCACGGAACTGCGCTGGATGACGGCAGAGGGTCATTGGAACCACTTGGTCTACGACCCGAGCGAGGAGATCATGGTGGTGGACCCCCAAAAGCGGCCTCGACCGAGAGCCGAGGTCCTCAAGGAGCTGGAGCGTCTCATCATCATCTTCAAGACGCCGGAACTGATCCTCAAGTACGACTCCTTTCGCCCTCTCAAGGGCAAGTTGGAGGGTCCGCTCATGACGTTCCAGCTGGAGCTGTCTCTGCAGAGCCCGGTGGCGCACGAAGCCATGCAGATTTTGAGGGGGTGGTTTGGACTGTCCCACATGCTGCTCATGGGCGCCCGCGTCAAGCCGGAGCGAGCAATCCGGCCACATTTGGCACAGGCTCTGCAGCAAGCTCTGTTCGGATGAACGGCCCCGCCATGGGTGCCGGAGCCCCTGCGGGGCGCTCAGGAGCCCCTGCCTTGGAGGGTCTGCTGACACTCAAACTTCTAAGTCTAAATCCCTTTAGTCTGTGTTATATGAATGCGGCTGCATTTCTGCTGGCCTTCACACTTCGAGTTTCCTCGCTCGTCACAAGCAGCTCGAGTGGTTTGGGTCTTGTGGTGAATTACTTGTGTCGGGGTCATAGACGGGTTGTTGATTTACGCCAGTTTATGGCCTGGCAAGCGTTGCTAGTAGGATGGGGCCAGGTTGTAGGAGATCGTGCCTCCCAACAAGATTGTGCGGAATTCCTGGGCCATCTACTTAGACGAGGGAGGCCCCCCGCAGCGCAAGGCGAGTGGCAAGCTCGCACCGTCCCTGAAACGGCCCAGCCGGCGCCGGTGCGGGACTCAGGTCAGGGCATTCTTTACCTTGAACTGCCTGACAGTGCCACAACCCTCCAAGACTGCATAACGCACTGGCATGCACAGCATGATCCACTGGTCTGCCCACACGCTCTGGTGAGGGCCACGCCTCTCGTGTACCTCTGCCTGGGCAGGTATCGTGAGCGCAGCGATGGGGAGGGAAATCACCGGACGTTGAAGGCCCAACATCGCATTCAGTGTACGCCGCACGCTGAGCTTGTCATTCCTGTGTTCCAGGGGAGCTCAACCTCGATGACGATGAGCAGATACCGCCTGCTGGCGGGTGTGTATCATCTTGGAGACACAGTCAACAGGGGACACTACCGTAGTTTCATGGCGAGCGGGGATTTCGCCTCTGCAACGGCCCCTCACGGGAGTCCGACCTGGTGGTGTACTGAGGACAGCCAGCCGGCTGCTAGATGCAGCTCAAAGCAGTTGAGAGTTTTGGAGCAGAACTGTTATGTTCTTTGTCTTCAGCTTTGCTAGGGTAGGTGGAGTATGCTGCAAAGTCGTCCCTGCCTGCTGGTAGTGTCGCTACGGGGCAGGGTTTGGGACGTACTGCGGGAATTTTAATGCGAGTACGGAGATGTCACAGTACAGCCAACTGGGCCGGACTCTTCATCGGGTCTGTCTCCCTTTCCGCGCTAGGTACTCGACAGAGTGCTGCGATTTCAAAGTCAAAAGTCCCAATGTCTGTTCTCTACGTCTCCTTCTTCCTGGCTTTCCCCTCTTTTCTCGGCGCTTCTCTTTGCAGGACTGTAGGAAGATCGAAAAGAGGGTGATAGAAGCAATGAGAGCAGCTCCTTTGTGCACTTTCTTCCTAGCAGAAACCGTTGAACCACAGCCTGATTGCGCCATAGAACATGCTATGGATAACTATCTTAATCTCAGCTACAACAGTCGGATAATCCATCGAAAGATCCCAACCCAAGTTCCATACTGTCCATTTAGGTGCCAAATCCGTGCATGTGTATACCGAGCTTGGGTCGGAGTTTCTGCTTGAGAATGGTGCGAGTTGGGGTTCATGAAAAACCAAAGGAGGTTCTTTCCGGCCCCTAGCCATAGCTGCAACGCGCGCGCCCGACACGTGAAAAACTGAAGGTCCCTCCAGGTACCTTTTCCCTTGAAAGTACAAACCCTCTTGCCTAAACCAAGCACGGACGCACTTCTTTTTCTCAGTTTTGAGCCAAAGTCCACGAAGTGCGCAAAACTCCAAACGAATTCAGTCGTGAGTTCAAAAGTTCTTCAGAACCAAGTTCCTACTTAGTGCACACTTACTCAACGTAGCGTATTGGGCAAAAACGATGGCATGACTTCCTAGGGAACCTGCAGCAACAATGTCTCCATACCAAGTGCTCCAGGGGGAAGCTGCCTGCTCTTTTCTTCTTGCAAACGGACGTTTGCAAGGACTGCACACATGCAGGTAGGAAGTTTCATGTTTGAGTGTCTGCACTTGTGAGTTTTGTGGAAGAGAGTGACTGCACGTTCGTTTCGTCACGTCTCGTATCGTTAGTTTGTGTTTTGTTCTTGCAGAAGCTGAGCAGTGACAGTTTGGGAATGTGGGTCATGTTTCACACAGTTTGGAGCCTAATAGCTGAGACCGCGCTTGCTTTGGCTTAAGGAAAAGAAAGCGAGTGCTTGCGATTCTGCGAAGCCGAGTTCGCTCGGCTATTCGCAGCGGAACTCGTCTCTTGTGGAACTTCGCTCAAGAAAGCGCCAATGCACAAGCATTGCCACTAGGCTGTACGCAAAGCTGTGGACTCGGAGTGCGGCTGCGATTGGAATGCAATGGAAATAGTCATCAGTAGTAGTAGTAGTAGTAGTAGTAGTAGTAGTAGTAGTAGTAGTAGTAGTAGTAGTAGTAGTAGTAGTAGTAGTAGTAGTAGTAGTAGTAGTAGTTGTAGTAGTAGTAGTAGTGTAGTAGTAGTAGTAGTAGTAGTAGTAGTAGTAGTAGTAGTAGTAGTAGTAGTAGTAGTAGTAGTAGTAGTAGTAGTAGTAGTAGTAGTAGTAGTAGTAGTAGTAGTAGCAGTAGCAGTAGCAGTAGTAGTAGTAGTAGTAGTAGTAGTAGTAGTAGTAGTAGTAGTAGTAGTAGTAGTAGTAGTAGTAGTAGCAGTAGTAGTAGTAGTAGAAGTAGTAGCAGCAGTAGTAGTCGTCGTCGTTGTCATCGTCGTAGCAGACTACTACTACTACTACTACTACTACTACTACTACTACTACTACTACTACTACTACTACTACTACTACTACTACTACTACTACTACTACTACTACTACTACTACGTACTACGTACTACGTACTACGTACTACGTACTACTACTACTACTACTACTACTACTACTCCTACTAGTACTACTAGTACTACTAGTACTACTAGTGCTACTAGTACTACTATTATTATTGAGCGAGCGGGCTCTGCTCATAGCGGGCGACGCCATGCCCTTGGCTTGCCCCGCCTGTGAGACGTGCCGTGCCGTGGCCAGCTCCGCCCTTCGGACGTGCCTTGACCATTAGCTAAAAGCCCATTGAAACGCGCCAGCTCCGTCCTATGAACCCGCCTAGCCAAGGACTAAACAAGCCAAACAAGACCAAGCCGAAAACTACCAACACACAAGCAACAAGACCCAACACGTACTTAGGCGTTGGGGGGGGATTGCACTGCGATAATCGCAGCTACCTACCTCATCCCTTTGAAGAGCAATGGACGAACCTAAAGCTCCTAGGCCCAGGCTGCTACCTCTGCCACGAACGTACGATAACAAGAAAAGAACACAAGGCAAGCGCATCCTTGGAATCAGACTTGCCGATGCCTCAGAGAAGGGAAAGGAAATGCCTACAAGGAATAGAGTTTAGAAACATCAGGCTCGCAAATCGGCTTCAAATGATAACTGCGACTGCCTAAGGCCCAGCTCAGACTCACTCGCTTTTGACGGTCTCCGTCACCCTAAATGTGAGTCATCGCGTCCGATACTCACGCACTGGTGCCGGTGGGCCGTACCCGGATGGGCCGACACCCTGAGTTCCCGTCTAGTGGCGTCCCACACTAGGTAACTCACGACAACCAGCGGAGGGCCGTAAGACGTTCAGCCAGTAAAGGCCGTGTGTCCTTGGATGCTCGCAACTGTGTTGCGGCAGCGGCATATCGCTCATCAGAAAGTCTGTGCCCAGCCGTGTCGTGGAGCCGTACCATAGTGCAGAAACTGCTCGCGAGTCCCGGCTCTCGCACCCCGCCGCAAGACGAGGCGTTGGTGACATGTTGAGGCCAGCATCACCCTCAAGCAGCCCTGCGCATGTAGCTGGTCGTACTTCAGAACTGTGGTTGCAGTGTCCCAACCTGCACCTTGTCCTGTAGACAAGACCGGCCCGGCGCCCCGTCTGGGGCCACAAGGGCACCCCATGTGCATCGAAAGACATCAGGGTGCTCAGCGGGGCCAGCATTGGGAGGATTACGTCGTGCTGAAGGCCGTTGGGTAGCTTTGTGTTTGGCAGCTGTGTTGCAAGTCCGTACAACCTTATCGGAGACTTCTCATCCTCACCAACGTTTGACGTTTTCCCCGGAGCAAGCAGCATGTCAGCTGCGCTGCAATCCCTTTCAACAGTATCCAAAGCAATACGTGACTGGGCTGTAGCTCGAACTGGGGGGGGGAGGGGGGGGGGGAGGGGGCGTGTCGTGGCCAGTCACGTACTTGTCTGCGAAGCGGCTTTTGAGCATGAGTGTCTCGGAGAAGAAGCTGCCACTTCGCATAAACTGCACAGAAAAGGATTGCAGTGATCTCTGAGTGCATCATCCCGGGGAAGCTGCTCGAAGCACAAAAACAGGCCTCAGCACTGATACTTCTTGCGTAGCAACCAGGCTCTGAAGTCGACCAATGTTGCGCTGCTCCAAGGATGTCTGTGTGCTGCAGAACCTTTTGTAAATGGAAAAGTGTAGGCAGGAGAAATGTACTGAGGCGCGTTCGGCTCGCCATCCGCTTGTTTTTCCCCTCCCGAAACATAGATAATGAAGTCACTAAAGAGGGTACTCCTTCCACCTCGCGGAGCAGTGGAAACCCTACCGCTTACCTCTGCAAACTCGTTGTTGTTGGTGTGCGTGAGGCCCGGGAATTGGGACCCGGCGGTTCACAGCAGAGTCGACTCGTAGCTCCAATGGCAAAATGGCTCAGGCAAAGGCAGAATCCTTAAGCTTCTGCGAAGGCAGGGCCTGTTGCTGAGCTCTAGAGACTCTAGTGCGTTCGGCCTGGAGGCTGGTTGACTTCCCAACTGCTGTGAACCGCGCGGCTACTGGTACTACTAGTACTAGTACTACTACTACTACTACTACTACTACTACTACTACTACTACTACTACTACTACTACTACTATTACTATTACTACTCCTACTCCTACTACTACTACTACTACTACTACTACTACTACTACTACTACTACTACTACTACTACTGCTACTGCTACTGCTACTGCCACTGCTACTGCTACAGCTACTGCTACTGCTACTGATACTGCTACTACTACTGCTACGACGACGACGTGTGAGGAGGAAGAGGAAGAGGAAGAGGAAGAGGAAGAGGAAGAGGAAGAGGAAGAGGAAGAGGAAGAGGAAGAGGAAGAGGAAGAGGAAGAGGAAGAGGAAGAGGACGAGGAAGAGGAAGAGGAAGAGGAAGAGGAAGAGGAAGAGGAAGAGGAAGAGGAAGAGGAAGAGGAAGAGGAAGAGGAAGAGGAAGAGGAAGAGGAAGAGGAAGAGGAAGAGGACGAGGACGAGGACGAGGACGAGGACGAGGAAGAGGAAGAGGAAGAGGAAGAGGAAGAGGAAGAGGAAGGGCAAAGGGAAGGGGCAAAGGGAAGGGGAAGGGGAAGGGGAAGGGGAAGGGGAAGGGAAGGGGAAGGGGAAGGGGAAGGGGAAGGGGAAAGGGGAGGGGAAGGGAAGGGGAAGGGGAAGGGGAAGGGAAGGGAAGCGGAGGGGGAAGGGGGGAAGGGGAAGGGGGGAAGGGGAAGGGGGAGGGGGAAGAAGGGGGGGGAAGAAGGAGGGGGGAAGAAGGGGGGGAAGAAAGGGGGGGAGGAGGGGGGGAGAAGGGGGGAGAAGAGGAAGAGGAAGAGGAAGGATAACATCGGAATACAGCAGAAGAAGAAAAGAAAGCGAGAAAGTTGTGTCGTGAATGCATTCGGCATAGTTGCCAATTGTCGCCAAGCGTGGATGTATTGAAGATGGAAATTCGGTTCATGGTTTTGATAAGACTTGACTTTATCAGTTGTGTGCAATGCCATTTCGACCGGTCAGTGACTTTTTGTTTGGGGTAGATCTCCAAAAACTGCGTTTGCAAGTTCGCAGCTTTGCCGGACTCAGTGAAGGTGTGATTTTTGGCAAGCTTCCTTGTTTTGCAAACGATTCCTTTGGCCCAAGGGTGGTACCACATGGCCTTTCATGTCTTTGCGATAAGCATACGCAAGGGCAGGATAACCATGTCCAAGGATCCTGTCAAATTCTGAGTATTGCGCAGACTTGTCTGTTGTACATGTTTGCTTCTACTATATATATATATATAGATAGGTACATATCATAACACATACAACAAATTTGCACCAGCTGACATGGTCGATGGCAGAGTGAGCGAGGATGTCGGTTCCAGCACTGGCGCAGCTGAAGAATGCGGATGGGTATGAAGATGTGGTGATCGGCCCAGTCTGCTGCTTCACGAGTTGACTGCGTGTCGAGCAGCACCCACACGTCTCCAAACCCTGGCTGTCGGTTTCATCTTCCTTTGCAGGCAGCAAGGGTGAAGCCTTCTGCAGAAGCTGCATGGGACAGACACGCTATGAGATTGTTCATGCTTCAAGCATCAATGCTAGCCACGTGTTCAAGCAATTTGTTGCCAGAGTGTTTTGTTGCAGGACATTCCCAGCGGCAGTTTGGTGGAGTTGGTTGAGGCCTGGCAGCCTTCAGCATGTACTTTGCATGCAGCTTACGATGCACACGCACACGACGATTTCATAACAAAAGGGAGCCTCCATGAGAGATATAAAGTGATAGAGTTGTTCGAGACCTTTAAAGTGCACAGCTGCTGAATTTCTGCACTTTTCTTTTGTAACTGATGCCCCGCCGCCGAAGTGGTGCAGGAATGGGTGGAATGCGAGTTTGGCAAGCTGAAAGGCGGGAACGCTGCCAGAATTTAGGGATCCTGAATATGATTTTAAGGTATAGTCGTTAGTTAAGAGAGTGCTCGTTGCTGTCATATATGGGTTATAGCGTGTAGGTTTAGGGCGCAGGGGGTGCTTTGTGAACCCTCACCCTGACCCTTACACCCTGAACCCTGAACCCTAAACCCTAAACTCTAAACGCGAACCCCAAACCCTAAACCCTAAACACCAAACCCCAAACCCTAAACCCTAAACCCTAAACTCTAAACGCGAAACCTTCACCCCTAAACCCTAAACCCTAACCCTATAAACCCTAAACCCTAAACCCTGAGCCCTAAACCCTAAACCCCAAACCCTAAACCCCAAACCCTAAACCCTAGACCCTAAACCCTAAGCCCTAAACCCTAAACCCCAAACCCTAAACCCCAAACCCTAAACCCTAGACCCCAAACCCTAAGCCCTAAGCACTAAACCCTAAACCCTAAACCCTAAACCCTAAACCCTAAACCCTAAACCCTAAACCCTAAACCCCAAGCCGTAAGCCCTAAGCCCTAAGCCCTAAGCACTAAGCCCTAAGCCCTAAGCCCTAAACCCTAAACCCTAAACCCTAAACCCCAAGCCGTAAGCCCTAAGCCCTAAGCCCTAAGCACTAAACCCTAAACCCTAAACCCTAAACCCTAAACCCTAAACCCTAAACCCTAAACCCTAAACCCTAAACCCTAAACCCTAAACCCTAAACCCTTCGAGGGCCCGGCCTCGACTCAGGATTCATCAAAGGAAAGAACTTGCCAGCGGTGGCCTCCAGCAGCCCAGGTGACTTGCTGGAGGCAAGCCATAGGGTTTAGGGCGTGTAGGGGTTGAGGGGTTTAAGGTTTGGGGGTTTAGGGGTTTAGGGGTTGAGGGGTTGAGGGGTTGAGGGGTTTAAGGTTTAGGGGTTTAGGGGTTTAGGGGTTTAGGGGTTTAGGGGTTTAGGGTTCAGGGTTTGGGGTTTAGGGCTAGCCGGAGATGTCATTCTTTTTGGGCACCGTGGATAGTTCGACATGGTCACATGTTTGCATCTTAGTGGCTTCGTGCGTGCGAGGTGCGGGATAGCTACGCAGGCGAGGTCCCTTGAAGCGAACCCAGAGAGCCCAATTCTCCTCAATTAAGGAATATGTCTTAGAATATACAAGAATCTGAATATGATTTTAAGGCATCGTCCTGAATTAAGGGGTCTTGGGCTCTTTGGGAATCTGTCGGCTGACTTTGCAGCATGTTTTTTTTTTTGCGTTTTTGCAACGGGAGGCAACACGGAGACCTGCATGCGCCGGCATTGCGAGCAGGATGCCTCCAAAGGTCCACACTCGGTAGTTTAGGGCGATCTGCACACACTCCTTCGGCTCGAGTTGACACGTTGGATGTGGGCTGCAATGCGCATAAGCTGCGCGATTCTGCAGGCAACGTGGTCTGCTTCGTCCCCAATGGCCCAAAGGCCGTGAAGCTTGTGGAAAGGTGGGTGGAGTGCAGGCTCGGCCCATCCACAAGTGGAAGTTCTTCAACTAGTGAACCCTAAACCCTACGCCCGAAACCCTTAAGCCGAAACCCTGAAACCCTGAAACCCTGAAACCCTGAAACCCTAAACCCTAAACCCTAAACCCTAAACCCTGAACCCTTGGTGTCTTCCCACAGCAGGTCTTGAACCCACAGTGCTCAGGTGGCGCGGTCACAAGAACTTCGTCAAAGCAAGGCATGTTCAGCCAGCTCCTGCTGGGACCGCGCTCGACAGTGTGCCTTGGCCATGAGAAGCTCTTGGGGACTCTTGGGGGTTTGGGGTTCGGGTTATACCTTAACCTTGAACTTCAACCCAAACCATAAACGGTTTAATCTACAAGGCTTTCTAAATTCGGCACCCTGCACCCAAGTAGTCCCTTCCCCCTAATATTAAACTTCCCCCCCTTACCCCCTAATACTTCATACCCCCCCAAAGAAACTATAATAAAAAAGGGGGTGTTTAGTACTAAACACTTCTGCAGTGTGGAGCACAGGGTTTTCTCCCAAACGTGGTTTTCCCTGTGGCCCTGTGCTCGACATTTGTGGTAAACCATAAGGGGCACTTAATTTTGAAAACTAGAAGGGGTATTCAATATCAAAAACTATAGGGGGTATTAAGATTAATAATAGGGGGTATTTAATATTAAAAACTAGAGGGGGTATTTAAGATTAAAAACTATAGGAGGTATTAAGATTAATATTCGGGGGAGGGGATTAGTGCGCTACATGTGCGCTCTGGGAGCAAGGACGATGCCCTGCCGGCGGCCAAAGGCCGTGGCGGCTCCCCAGGCAGGTATGACCTGCCTTTTCGCTCCAAGCCTTAAGCCCTAAACCCTAAACCCTCAACCCTCAACCCTCAACCCTAAACCCTAAACCCTAAACCCCAAAACTCTAAACCCTTAAACCCCACTGGTAGACCCCTAGTCCCTAGACCCTATAAACCCTAAACCCCTAACCTCCTCTCTGCTGAAAGGCAAAGCCAGGGGAAGTGCATCCGCCGCGATGGAGCCACCTGCCAAGAAAGCAAAGACAGGCTCGATCCCTTATTTGATTTAAGGCATAGTCCTTATTTGGGGGGCTTTGCTGTCTCTGGTTAGTTCAAGCATCTCCGCCAGGTGCGGCCAAGCGACCGCCCTGCAAGCTGCGACCTTAGTTTCCAGATGCCAGGTGAGGTTCAGGTCGAGGGTGTAAGGTTTTAGCTGCAGTATTCGTATTATATTTTTATCATCACCTTTTTCTTCTTATTCATGTATTGTGTCATGATTCATTAGGGTCCGAACTCGGGTGAGGGTCACTTGAACGTGGGTTGCTTCAGGTATGGGGCTGGCTGCTATCAGAAGAACCCTCTTCACCGTGCGAAGCTCGCTCCTGAGCATGTTTGCGCACTCGGGTCCAGCAGGGCAAAGGCCCTAGTTTCCAGACCCCGAAATCCAAACCCTAAGCCCGAAACCCTAAACCCTAGAACCGAAACCCTAAGCAGCACGCGCCACGAGGTTCTCGCACCCAGGAGACCCTGACTTCAAGAGTGATGGGCCTCCTGAGATGCCTCCCGAAGCAGCCAAGTCATCAGATGACGTGGAGATGGCACCTGCCAGTGCAAGCAGTGCTGCAGCAAGCTCAGATGGTGCTAGCGGAAGCGGCGCAGCCAAACCAGATGCCCCGCCCGAAGGCAAGCCGGCGGAACCCGATGCGGACATGCCAGATGCAGAGGCAGCCGCACCAGCTTCACCAGCTGGGAAGGAGAAAGCCGAAGCTTCGCCCCCTGCGGTGCCTCCTGCCGCTCCTGCTGAGCCCCCTCCTGCACCCCCTCCGGCCGCGCCTCCGGCTCCGGCGGCAGCGCCTCCGGCGGCTGCGCCTGCGGCCGCGCCTCCTCCAGAAGGAGAAAGCAAGGGACTCAGAAAAGTGTTGCAAGCAAAGCTGCCTCTCAAAATGACGTTGAGGGCTTCATGGGCTTTTTGCTTGAGGTCGTGAGTGCCAATGCTGCTTTGATGATGTCCCGGCAACCGAAGGGATTGTCTGCCCTAGCAAAGAGCACTTCTTCTGCAAAGCGTGCATGGCCAATTTCCTGACGGCCTTCAAGACCGCCGACTATGCAGATCAGAAGATACACCTCTGCAGCAAGAGTCTTTCCTTTCTGGCCGGGCCTAAACTGTGTCTACACTGATCCATCCCTCTGCGCTCAGGAAAGCCAAAGGAAGAGCTCTTTGCCCAATGAAGGCCCAAGATTCAGGGAAAGTCATACAGACCCCAGGGAGGGGAGTTATGGAATAAAGGGTTGTGAAATTCCAGTGGAGTGTCCCTGAAATCCTAAATTTTGTTGGCTGTGGTCCTAACCAAGTCAAGGAACAAACCCTAGACCCTAAACCCCTAAACCCTAAACCCCTAAACCCCTAAATCCCTAAACCCCTAAACCCTAAACCTCTAAACCCTAAACCCTGAACCACGGGTTTAGCATTCAGGCTTTAGGGTTCACAGAGCCATCGTACAAAGCCCTTCATATCGCACAGTCCTTGGTTTCTAAGCCCCCCCGTCCCCCCAAAAACCGCAAAACCCTGCCTAAACCCAACCCTAAACCCTAACCCTAACCCTAACCCTAATCCCTAAACCCTAAACCCTAAACCCTAAACCCTAAACCCTAAACCCTAAACCCTAAACCCTAAACCCTAAACCCTAAACCCCTAACCCCTAAACCGCTTGTGCTGTCCGGAGGACTCCGAGACCCCATTCGGCGATTCGGTGCTGGCGGCCGTCGTGCCCCAGGACTCCTTTGAGAGCTTAGGGTTCAGGAACTTGGGGTTTAGGATTTAGGGTTAAGGGTTTAGGGTTCAGGAACTTGGGGTTTAGGATTTAGGGTTAAGGGTTTAGGGTTCAGGAACTTGGGGTTTAGGATTTAGTGTTTTGGGTTTAGGGTTCAGGAACTTGGGGTTTAGGGTTTAGGGTTAAGGGTTTAGGGTTCAGGAACTTGGGGGTTTTGGGGGTTAGGGTTGGAGGTTTAGGATTAAGGGGTTTGGGGTTTAGGGTTTAGAAGCTTGGGGTTGAGGGTTGATAAACTTGGGGTTTAGGAGGTTGAGGGTTGAAGGTTGAGAGTTGAGGGTTTGGGTGCCTTCCGAACCCGAACCCCTAACCCCTAACCCCTAACCCCTAAACCCTAAACCCTAAACCCTAAACCCTAAACCCTAAACCCTAAACCCTAAACCCTAAACCCTAAACCCTAAACCCTAAACCCTAAACCCTAAACCCTAAACCCTAAACCCTAAGCCCGACACCCTAAACCGAAACGTAGGACGTCTTCGACGAGTACCTGCAGATAAGGATCAAGGTCGCCGAGCAAAGCATCCAGGAGCACTTTGAGAAAGAGAACACCGCCAAGATCGAGGAGCCCCCACAGACTCCTTAAGCCCTAAGGGGTTTAGGGTTTAGGGTTTAGGGTTTAGGGTTTCGGGTTCTGGGTTTAGGGCCTGTGAGCCCTCCAAACCCTGTAAAAACCCTGTAAACCCCCTGTAAACCCTTAAAAACCTTATGCCCTGTAAACCCTTGAGGCCTGATAAACCCCAAGACTGCTGAAAAAGATACATGGGTACATGAAAAGTCGGGCAAAAGGTAGTGTAGCTATGGTTGTGACCTTACTTAGGATTAGGGCTATAAGTACCCTAAGCAAGGTTATAACATGGCTACCCTACCTATAACACTACTTCTGAATACCCATGCACCTCAAAGATGTCGAGGAGCTGAAAGACAAGCTTGCAAAAGCAACCGGCAGTCCCAGACTCAGCTTGTTGTTTTGTGGCCTTTAGGGTTTAGGGTTTGGGGTTTGTTCGGTATCCTTGGTGCCAGGGTGGTTTAGGGTTGCTTGGGGGTATTTAGGGTTGCTTAGCGTTGTTTTTGGGGTCTTTAGGGTTGTTGAGGGTCGTTTTTGGGGGGGCTTAGGGTGTCTTAGGGGTGTCTGGGGTTTTTGGTTTTGGGGTTGTTCAGGGGTTGTTTAGGGGTTGTTAAAGAAATACCTTAAGTTGCTGAAGGGCGTCTGGGATGGTTTCGGGTTCCAGCTGCTGCCGCTGAGGCAGTGAGCAACTGGAGTTGGACAAGCACCGCCTCAAGATTATTGACGACATCTTTACCCTGAAGTGCCCGCGCTGCAAAATGGCTTTCTTGGACTACGACAACTGCGCCTTGGCCTGTCTCTAGAGCCTGGGCAAGAGTGCGGTTCAGGGTTTAGGGTTTAGGGTTTAGGGTTTATAGGGTTTAGGGTTTAGGGTTTAGGGTTTAGGGTATAGGGCTTCTGAAGCATCCGCCCTCCATGTTTTCTGAGGTAGCGCCATCACCTGTGCGGCCTGCAAATGTGGCTTCTGCTCATACTGCCTGGAGGATGCTCCCTTGGAGATATAAACCCCAAAAACCCAAACCCTAAGCCCTAAACCCTAAAACCCCTATGTTGCAAGGACTGCGGGAAGGATGCCCACCAGCACTTCTACAAGAATGGCAGCAAGTGTCCCAATGAAGGTGGGGTGAGAGTCCTAAACCCTAAACCCTAAACCCTAAACCCTAAACCCTAAACCCTAAACCCTAAACCCTAAACCCTAAACCCTAAACCCTAAACCCTAAACCCTAAACCCTAAACCCTAAACCCTAAACCCTAAACCCGAATTGCAGCGTCGGTTTCCTGGCTGCGGGGGAGTGCGTTGGAGGTGGTCCCCTCTTCATTGCGTACAACTTGTGGCAAGAGTTCCAAAACAACCGCAAGGACCAACATGATGTACTTGGAGGTTCATGGGTGGTTTTGGGCAGGGTCAGAAGTATGGCAGCTCTACTTACAAAACTACTTGGGGTACTTCTAATCCTCAACCCTAAACCCTAAGCCCTGAACCCTAAACCCTAAACCCAAAACCCGAAGTAGCTACCCATGAGCAAGCCGTAGATTCTTTGGCTGGTCCTGTAGGCTCATAATTATAACCGTACTTATAATTTGTACTTAAAAAACCCTGTTACGGCACTTGAGGGGCTTATAGGTGGGTAAGAAGTGCAGTTATAACCCTAAACCCTAAACCCTAAACCCTGAACCCTGAACCCTGAACCCTAAACCCTGAACCCCCAAGTAGATGAAAGGAGAGGTTGCTCTGCGAGTTCTTGGCCGGCTTGCCCGAAGACGTCCGCAAGAAGGCGAGGTGTTGGGAAGCAAAGCCTAGACCCTAGACCCTAGACCCGAGACCCTAGACCCTAGACCCTAGACCCTAGACCCCTAAACCCTGAACCCTGAACCCTAAACCTTAAACCCTAAACCCCAAATCCTAAGCCCTAAACCCTAAGCTCCAGACCCTGACCACCCCGACATCACGAGCACTTGGATCTGGGGCCGAAGCTTAACGAAAAACAACCCCCAACCCCCTAAATCCCAGACTCTCCGATTCACCAAACCTAAACCCTAAACCCCAAAGTTGCTTGCCCTTGTTTATACTTGGAGGTTCATGGTACTTATTAACCAAGGATAACTGTGCTTAGAACCCACTTATAAGCCCCTTCAGTGCCCTAATATCATCATAAGTACAGTTAGAGGGTACATGTGTAATGGTTTCATAAGTACCACGAACCTCCAAGTAGGGATCCGAAGTATGAGCCCTTGTTATGTAGTGTATGTAAGAGTTATAGAACAAGGGACCCAAACTAAGTGCCCATGCTCCGAACTTGAATCCCCCAGGGCCAGGCTCAAACAAGAAGAACCTAAGCCCTAAACCTTAAACTTAAGATGTATGTGCCTCAGTGACTCCCGAAGCCCCCCCCTCCCCCCCCAAAAAAAAAAAGGCGTAATGTTGGCAACGAGGTCGCTGACTTGGTGTCGCCCGATGCCAAGGATTTGGGCATCAAGATGCCCGAGGACCTCTGCATGTCTAGAGAGCTGACGGTTTTAGGGTTTAGGGTTTAGGGTTTAGGGTTTAGGGTTTAAGGTCATCTCTTACTAGCCCTGGACCCTAAACCCTAAACCCTACTTGGAGGTTCATGGCACTTATTAACCAATTATAAGTAATCCACTTAGAGTCCCCTGAAGTGCCCCAGTAAGTACCATGAGCCTCCAAGTAAACTCTATACCCTAAACCCTAAACCCTAAATCCTAAACCCTAAGCCCTAAACCCCAAACCCTAAACGCATGTTAAGGGCGTAGCCTGGGGGAGTTGCGGCCTTAGACAAGACAATGTTGGTTCAAGGTTTCTGGGTGGCCGCTGGGATTGAGGGTAGGCAGAATGATGTGCAGCGTCGATGCCAAGCAGTGCGAGACCACGTCGAACTTGCCAAAACCCTAAGCCCTAAACCCTAAACCCTAAACCTCAAACCCTAAACCCTGAACATCCCAAGAGCATGCCAAGGGGGGCCCAAAGCGAGGACAGTCCTGCATTTAGGCGTACGTGCACACGGGCGTGGCTTTCACATCGCATGTTGCGGCTTCCAAACACGAAAGTTTCAGTGCCTTGCATGTCTTGATGTCTGGATCGGAAAGAACCGGGCCTTTTCCTCCCCCTCCTAAACCCCAAACCCCAAACCCCAAACCCCAAACCCTAAACCCTAAACCCTAAACCCTAAACCCTAAACCCTAAACCCTAAACCCTAAACCCTAAACCCTAAACTCTTGTGGCTCCTGGAGAAGTTCACTTCGCGTGTCCGTTCTAGGGGGGATCTTGCATCCAGCGGCTCTGTTCCTAAATTGCCAGCAGCCGAAGCTCAAAACCCTAAAGCCCTAAGCCGTTTAGGGTTTAGGGTTTAGGGTTTAGGGGCCTCAGCTCCCAACCTTAAGCCGGAAACCCCAAGTCTCACCTTCCGCCCGTAGCCCCAGAGAGCCAGGACCTGAGTTGTATGAAGGGTCATAAGTGCCCTAAATAGGGCCGTAAGTGTAGTTACCATCCCTAAACCCTAAACCCTTAACCCTAAACCCTAAACCCTAAACCCTAAACCCTGCTTCTAAGCACGTCATAAGTACCCTTAAGAGCCAGGACCTCAGTGCGGCAAGCCTGGTGCCAGAGGCGGAACTGTTCGTGAGGCCTGCATGGCTTCAGGGGGCAGACGTTGGCTTGGGCAGCCCTGGTTGCAGGCTCATGGCTTTCAGCGGCTCAAGATCACCGTGCCGCGGAGGTGGGTCCAGGGCTTCGGGGTTTGAGGGCTTGCTCCCTAAACCCTAAACCCTAAACCCTAAACCCTAAACCCTAAACCCTAAACCCTAAACCCTAATTACAGGGCTTGGGGGGGGGGTCTCACCTCCGACCCCTAAACGCCCGAAACCCTAAACCTTAAACAGGCTTCAAGATTCTCTAAATTCGGGTCTTTGTTTGGGTCCCTATGCAGTACGGCACCTTGTAAACAAGGTCATTGAGAGAACTACCTACATGACAGCCAATCCAAGAATCGTCATGGTCTTTTCTCGTGGGCCCCATTTGGGGCCTTTGGGGACGACCCAAGGCCCACACCTGTACTCCCACCTCACCCGAAACCCTAAACCCTAAACCCTAAACCCTGAACCCTGAACCCTGAACCCTGAACCCTCAACCCTAAACCCCAAACCCCAAACCCTAAACTAAACCCTAAACCCTAAACCACATCACCTGAAGAACCAGGGCGTGGGACTTTTCGACTGTTTTTGGTTCCCGGGGCTTCCACGATCTCCGAGAGAATGTTGCCTAAATCGCAGGATCCTGAAAAGGTTTAGGGTTTAGGGTTTAGGGCTAGGGTTTAGGGTGTCGGGCTTAGGGTTTGGGGGTTTGGTCTAGGGCTTGGGGAGTCCAAGGACATTTGGGTTTTTGCTGGGGTATTGCCTCCAGGCTCCGCCGGCTCTTGGTGGATCTTAAAAAAGAGCTTCCTGAAAAGGTGGCGGTGCGCTCAGAACAGGGTTTAGAGTTTAGGGTTTAGGGTTTAGGGTTTAGGGCTTAGGGCTTAGGGTTTAGGGTTTATAGGGTTTAGGTAGGCTTTAGGGTTCAGACCCCAAAACCCTAAGCACCAAAACCCCGAAAACACCCTTAATAAACAGCTTTGGGAGTTCAGTCGGGTGGCGGGGCAGACTTTTGGGCTTCTAGACCTTTGGGGGGGGGCGAGGTTCTCCAAGTTGCGGGCTCCCTTCTTAGGGGTTCACGACTCGAATGTGCGGGGGTTTACGCAAAGAAGGGAACCCTAAAATCAGCCCCCAAGTGGTAGGATTCCCTTTTAGTAAGGACCTCAATAAGGTACCCCCAATGTCGGAAACACCTATATGGAGCTGTACGCCCAGGGCGCCCCAAAAGCAGGACCGTACTCCTCTCGGAAAAATGCCCAATTTGTTCTCACACGGTTGGCTTTGCTATCAGTCTGTTCCCAAAGCGACATGCTCATTCTCTGAGCTCGAACAAAAAACGAGCAAACCCCGAACCGCTTAAAAAAGCCCCTAAACCCTAAACCCTGAGCCCTAAACCCTAAACCCTAAACCCTAAACCCTAAACCGTAAACCCTAAACCCCAAACCCTAAACCCTAAACCCCCAAACCCCAAAGCTGACCCCACCCCAACACCGACGAGGAGCTGACGGTGCCTGACCCGAAAGAGCAGGCTCGGAGCGCCTGCCGTTTTTGTACTTTTTAAGGGTTTTAGGGCTTAGGGTTTACGGTTTCGGGTTTAGTTCTTAAATATTTTGAAGAGGGTTTTTGGCTTTAGATGTTTTAAGAGTTGGTTCGAAGGAACATTTGTTGTCGCTGCTTTCGATTTGGGTTTGTGTGTTTCTGGTGGCTTTGTATAGGTTTAGGGTTTAGGGTTTAGGGTTTAGGGTTTAGGGTTTAGGGTTTAGGGTGTTTTTGACGCTTGGTCTTTGGCACCTTTGGCTTCAAGGTTTGTTCAGGTTGGGGGGGATTGGGGGCCTAAGGGGTGGAGGCTTTGGGGTTTCAGATTGCTTTACTGAAACCCTAAACCCCAAACCCTAAACCCTCGACCCTAAACCCTAAACCCTAAACCCTAAACCCTAAACCCTAAACCCTAAACCCTAAACCCTAAACCCTAAACTTAGGACGCTTGAAAGGCACTTTACGGGTTTTCCAGCGGCGCAGGTCTCCACCATGCACGTCTCGGCAGCGATGAAGGCTTGCGTTTTCAGCCAACCCTCTGGCCCAGCATGTCTAGCGGCTGACGCTTTTGCCCTAAAGGGTTCATAGGGTTTAGGGTTTAGGGTTTAGGGTTTAGGGTTGGGATGTTCCACCTTATGCAAACAGTCCTTAATAGGGATTATAATGGGGGGTACTCTAATCCATATTGAGGACCGTTAGTAAAAGGGAGCACCCTCAACCCTAAACCCATAAAAGCCCTGAAGCTTTAAGCCCGAAACCTTCAACCCTAAGCCCTAAGCCTTAAAACCGCACCCCCAGAAACCCTATATACAACCCCAAACAACCCTGAACACCCAAAAACCCCAAAACAACCCTAAACCTTAAACCCGAAGCCCTAAGCCCTAAGCCCTGAACCCTGAACCCTGAACCCTAAACCCTAAACCCTAAACCCTAAAGACCCCGATTAGGCAATCACTGCGGGCAAGCCAGCAGCTTTTGCCAAGAAGAACATCGCTGCGCACCTTCCAGCAAGCCACAAGGCTCCGAGTTTAGGGTTTAGGGTTTAGGGTTTCGGGTCAGTTTAGTGTTTAGGGTTGGCATCGGGGCTTGTTGACAGCTGCTTTGGGCAGCCGAAGCCCCGAAACCCGCAACCCTCGACCCCAAAAACGCGGGCTAAGGGTCTGTAGGGTTTATAGGGTTTATAGGGTTTTCTAGGATTTATAGGGTTTAGGGTTTATAGGGTTTAGGGTTTAGGGTTTATAGGGTTTTCCAGGATTTATAGGGTTTAGGGTTGAGGCTCTACATCCCTCTCCCCAAAGAGGCACATTCTCCAGCCAATGGGCTTTGTGAAGTAGGAGTATGTTGTGCTAGGAGCTACCTTGCGTCGAGGGCTTTAGTGGTGACAACCTTTCTACGAGGTGGCTGCATGGTCTAGGGTCTAGGGTTTAGGGAGGGTCTAGGGTTTAGGGTTTAGGGTTCCCTTAACGTGGTCCCCTGCCTGCTTTACAAGGTCATGAAAATATGGGCCCTTGGAACTTCACATTGACATCGGGTCTATGAGGGGTATAGACAGTTTCCCCAATTCAAGGCCCGTACTAAGGGACCAGATAACTGCCCAAAACCCTCAACCCCCAACCCTCAACCCTAAACTTGCAGCTTGCCCGAAAGAACCTAAACCCTAAACCCTAAACCCTAAACCCTAAACCCTAAACCCTAAACCCTAAACCCTAAACCCTAAACCCTAAACCCTAAACCCTAAACCCTAAACCCTAAACCGGTAGGTGAAGATTGATGACGAGTGGGTGCTCTGTCGAGGCGCTCTTCTGCTGGCATCTTCGTGAAGTTGCCGGGACTTCGATTCTCAACCCCAAGCCCTCAACCCTAAACCCCAAACCCTAAACCCGAAACCCTAAACCCTAAACCCCAACCCTAAACCCTAAACCCTAAACCCTAAACCCTAAACCCTAAACCCTAAACCCTAAAACTTTAAACCTTAAACCCTAAACCCCCAAACCCTAAGCCAGCTTGCCTTGTGGCCTTGTAGCGCGGGAGGTCCGAAGAAGAGTGCTGTCGCACCTGGCTTCATCAAAGCGAAGCACCTGAAGACCCTTCTGGGAAACAAGGCGGTTAGGGTTTTGGGTTCAGGGTTTAGTGTTTGATAGAGCTGGAGAGGCGAACTTGCAGCAATCAGACCTATGATGTCAACAGCTGAGGTACTTTATGTTACGTTCCGTAAGCATACAGATGTTATGCAGTTGGGTATATTTGCATATGACTTGTTCTCGATATTGTTGCATTTTGGTAACATGTAGCACTTCTATACGCGGCTTCGATCAGTTCCTGCCTTGCAGGGGAAGCTTGAAGAAGCCAATGGGCATGGAAGTGTCCTGGTCAGAGAGAAAGCTGTGCAGGCGCAACCGCATGTCTATAGATCGCCCATTTGGGCACGATCCCTCTTCCCTTTCCTCCTGCCCAGGTTTAGGGTTTAGGGTTTAGGGTTTAGGGTTGCCCAGGATGCGAGCAATCTAGACCGCTAGTCCCAGTACACGAACCTCCCTGAACCCTAAGAGTCTTAAGCTTCAACCGCCCCAAGCCAATTGCACCCGGCGCTAAACAGTCGCAGCCTCCTTTGTTTAAAGTCCGACTTTGCGTGGCCGCGCTGCGCGCAGGATGAGGATGACAATTCCTTGGGCTACTTGGATGATGGAACCGATGTGGAGGCCAGGGTAGCTAGGGTATCTAGGGTATCTAGGGCATCTAGGGTATCTAGGGTATCTAGGGTAACTAGGGTATCTAGGGTATCTAGCCTATCCAGAGAATCTAGGGTATATTGGTATCTAGGGTATCTAGAGTATCTGGGGTATCTTGTATATATCGGATTCAGGTTTCGGGTGCAAGGTTCAGGGTGCAGGGTTCGTTGCTTCGGGCTCAGGGTTCAGGTTTAGGGTTCAGCAAGGGTTTTGGCTGGAGGGTTTTGGGTCGAGGGTATTAAGGGTTCAGGGTTTGGGATTCTTGTTCAGGCTTTAGGTTTAGGGTTATATGGGCTTTTACCATGGCAGGTTCTTTGCGCAGAACCGGATCATCTGCCCCGAAACCCTAAACCCTAAACCCTAAACCCTAAACCCTAAACCCTAAACCCTAAACCCTAAACCCTCGCCCGAAAAGGAGTGAAGGGTTGTAAAAAAAATGCTAAACCCTGAGCAGGTCATGGGCCACTGGTACGAGTGCACCTGGGAAGGAGTCGGTCCAAGCAAGCGCGGATTCGTCCATGCGTCTCTCTTGCAAATTCAATTTGGCAGCTTATTCGATGCAGACACCGGCGTAGGGTTTAGGGTTTAGGGTTTAGGGTTCGGGTTTAGGGTTGGGGGTTCACATAGCACGTCGCTGTACCCAGGTCTCGGTGATCCCCGACAATGACATCAGCATGCGAGGTCCCACCGAGGACCTGCGGGCAGCGCGATGTCCGGATCCTCATGCGGCTTTCTCAGCATCTCCCCAAAGAGCCCCATATTGCTTAATTAAGGAAGATACCTTAAACCATATTAAGGATCCTATACGATTTAAGGTATATTCCTTAGTTAAGCAACATTGGGCTCTTTGGGAAGCATCTCCTTGGCGCAGGATTGCACCGAAGCCCTGAAGTTCCTTGAGGGCAAGCTCGGCATCAAGATTGAGACCCTCTCTCTAGGCCGTGGGCTGTAGGAGCCGCAGGGATGATGACGATACTTGGAGGTTCAGGGGTACTTCTTCCCCCAACTCTAAGTGTGCTCATAAGCCCCGCAAGTCCCCCAGGAAGGTTATAGGTAGACTTTTTGCAGGGGTTAGAAGTAACCATGAACCTCCCAGTAGCTCTTATTCTTGTCGCTACAAGCTCTCCATCTGCTAGCTGCGAGGCGGTGGGAAGCCAAAAGCAGCTGCAAAAGCGAAGGCTTTCCAGTGGGTTTGCTGGCCCAAGTTATACGTATATGTAGATAATAACAATCATAATACCTATCATGCTACCACTGCTGCTCCTACAACAACAACAACTACTACTACTACGACGACGACTGCGACCAGAAATGTTTTTTTATATTAATGATTTTTTATAATATAGTATAGATGATACTCTGAACATAATATATTTGTCAATTTATCAGATAGTGCAATATCATACATACTGTTAATGATTAGATGCTTGCCACCTGCTTGCTGAATCTGCTGCAGGCGAAAGCCAAAGGAAAAGCCAAAGCCAAAGCCAAAGCAGCTTGAGTACTTGGAGGTTCAGGGTACTTGCGACCCCCCAACTATAGCTGCATATATATGCCCCGCAAGTCCCCTAAGTAGGTTATGAGTAGACTTATAATTGGGCTATAAATAACCATGAACCTCCAAGTATCGGTGATCGATTGCATTTTCTGACTGCGGGTGGTTGACACCCTTTCGGGGCATACTGGGCACATGCTGCACGCTGGAGAAGCAGCTGGGTCGGAGCGAGGCGGAGCGTAGCATCTCGATCTTGGCGTGAACATGGACATGAAGTTGTTATGCAGTGTTGTCCTTCTCATGGTAATGAGATAGTGCGGATACTCGGCTGTTGCAGAGCTTTGGTTCTCGACTGCGGTTGTGTACCCCGAAAGTTGCTTCACAGGGTGAAGATTGTGGATCCATGCTTGGTGTGAAGTTAGCAGAACTGCGAGCGATCTGCAGGGAAAACCGAGTGCCGTGTGCTCCGTCCTCGGGGCTGGCGGAGAATGCGGGGTCCCCTATTTTCGTACACCCCACCATATTCTGGCCACACGCCTACGTGATTCCTGGGCTTCCCTTTTTGACAGAGGCTTCTCTGCCAAGCCTTGAACGGAGGTCCATGGTTTTTTTTCGCCCCTGTTAGAAGTCTACTTCTAACCTGCTTGGGGGACGTACAGGGCTTGCAAAAACAGTTTGGGATGTTCCCCCTTATTCTAAGAGTCCTTACTAGGGATTATAGTATCCCCTATGAGAATCCCTACCAAGCACTGTTAGCATGAGGGGGAACATCGCAAAGTACCGTTATTACTGGCACGGACGGCGCGCGAGCCTTTGGCTCCTGTAGCTTGCGGGGTTGGCCGGACATGGGGTTCAGCAGTCACTGTGTGGCTTGTGAAGAGACGGGTAAGGGCTTACGCTAGACCCTAGACCCTCCCCTAAACCCTAAACCCTGAACCCCTAAACCCTGAACCCCTAAACCCTGAACCCCTAAACCCTGAACCCCTAAACCCTGAACCCCTAAACCCTGAACCCCTAAACTGTAAACCCTAAACCCTAAACCCTGAACCCTGAACCCTAAATCCTGAACCCTAAACCCTAAACCCTGAACTCTGTAGAAGTGGCTTCCTGGAGCCGGCGGGTCTCGTCCAAGCTATGGCGGAGCTTTGGGAGCGCGTGGCGCGCCTGGAGAAGGCACCGAATGGGGCACGGTGCAAGGTGCTTAGGGTTTAGGGTTTAGGCTCTGAACTAGGGTCCCTTTTTAGCGTCGCCTTTTCTGGGGTGAGGTACTACATAGGGGGGGTTTGCGGTTTGCCTATGGTGGAGTCTCTGTGCTCCCCCTGCCCCCTACCGCCCCCCCCGACGGCCTCCCCCCTGCCCCCCCCCCCCCCCTGCCCCCGCCCCCCCTCCCCCTCCTCACCACCCCCTTAACACCCGAAACCCACCATTGCCTTTGTGTATGTTCCAGCTCCTTAAAGGGTTAGAGTTTGGGGGTGGTTTGGGACTTGTGGGGTTTAGGGTTTAGAGGTTTAGGGAGATGGGGGTGTAGTTTGAAGACTCAGGGCGTGTCGAAATCCCTTCTTCAAGACCCTCGGCCTCAAGCTCCTTCTTCGGCAGCCAAAGCAGCCATTGAACCCTCAACCCTAAACCCTCAACCGTGAACCCCTGAGGCCCCTAAACTCCTTAACCCACCCTCTCTTGAGCAGGTCTTAGAGCAGCACATTGCGGAGTGTGACGTCTTCCGGGACTTCTGGGGCGAGGCCTTGTCGGACTCGGAGCTGTGGAATGCGAGCGCGGTTTAGGGTTTAGGGCTTAGGGCTTAGGGGTTTGGGCTTTTGGGCTTGGTGGATATTGGGTTTGGGGTGGGCCCGACACCTTAAACCCTAACAAATCCTAGGCTCTGCCTTCCATCCTTAAAGCCTAAACCCTAAACCCTAAACCCTAAACCCTAAACCCTAAACCCTAAACCCTAAACCCTAAACCCTAAACCCTAAACCCTAAACCCTAAACCCTAAACCCTAAACACCCCAAGGGCTATTGGGGGTTTATGGCCTGGGGCCCTACAGGCCTCAACCTTCAATCCTGCACTCCAAGCCCTGCACCCTAGCCCCTAAGCCCAAAACCCTAAATCTTTCCGCCCAAAGTCCCTCTCCCCGGATAACCAGAACTGCGTGGATTGAGGCTGAGTGACGCCCCCAACACCAACACCCTACACTAGGTAGGACATTGGAGTTAGGGCGGCTTAGGGCTTAGGCTTTAGGGTTTGAGGCTTCCCGTAGTGGGTTTAGTTGTCAGAGCCTGGTTTCAAGGGTCCTACAGCCCCAGCCTTAAAACCCCGGAACCCTGGCACCCCAACCCCCTGAACCCTACAAGATCACAGCTTACACGCCAACCCCCCCCCCCCCCCCCCCCCCCCCCGCCCGAAATCCCAAACTAAGGTTCAGGGTTCAGGGTTCAGGGTTTAGGGAAACCCTAAACCATAAACCCTAAACCCTAAACCCTAAACCCTAAACCCTAAACCCTAAACCCTAAACCCTAAACCCTAAACCCTAATCCCTAAACCCTAAACCCCAAACCCCAAACCCTGAGGATGAGCAGTCCGATCACCCGGAGAGGGGTGCAGCTTCCCCGGTGGTCACTGAGGCATGCATCAAGGAGCGGAGGGGTGTGTGGGTTTAGGGTTTAGGGTTTCGGGTTTAGGGTTAGGGTTTAGGGTTTGGGGTTTAGGGTTTAGGGTTTAGGGTTCAGGGTCTAGGGTTCAATGAGCCAAGGTCGGGCATTTGAAGCTGCTTAGGGTTTCTTCAAGTCTGCTTTGGGGAGTCGAGGGCTTTTAGGGCTGGAGTTTTTGGGCGAATTACCAGAAACCCTTACACCTTGGGATGTTCCCATTCGCAGTCCTTAGTAGGGATTTTTTTTTTAAATGCGGGTACCGTCATCCCGATGAAGGACTGTTAGTGTAGCGGGGAACATCCCAACTTAAACCCCAAACCCTAAACCCTAAACCCTAAACCACCAAACCCTAAACCTAAAGTGTTTGCATACTTGAGAACCCGGACAAGACGTGAAGCAGGCTTCATATCAAGCACTATAGGGGTTTAGGGGTTTAGGGTTTGGGGTTAGGGTTTTTGAGTTTTAGGGTTTAGGGTTTAGGGTTTATGGGGGTCGGAAAAGTTTCTCATACTATTCCCTTATGGTCCCCTTATGGATATTCCTATTCTCACCCCCAAAACCCTGCTCTAATTATCAAGGCCCCTATATGAACAGATGCCCACGTCACGCAAATTCCGAAAACCGCAGCGCTGGAGACGCGTGAGGCCATGGATTCTTTGAAGTCACGCAGTGGGATGTAAGGGCAGACCCTAAAACCCTAAACCTTAAACCCTAAGCCCTAAGCCCTAAGCCCTAAACCCTAAACCCTAAGCCCTAAGCCCTAAGCCCTAATAGGATGAAAGGTCGTACCCTGAAGCCCGAGAGCCCCCAACCCCGGTGGGTTGAAGGTTGCTGGGCGATGCTTCAAAAACTATGGGCTCTTTGTTTGTACCCCACACAGAGACGCAGCAAAAGCGCGCCCATACTGCAGATCATCGAATTTCTGCTGAGTGCGGGGCTGCCAGCCTTGCCCTATACCCTAAAACCCAAAAATAACCCCAAACCCCCAAACCCTTTATAAACCCTACACCCTAAACCCTAAACCCCAAACCCCAAGCCCTAAACCCTCAACTGCAAACCCCAAACCCCAAACCCCAAGCCCTAAGCCCTAAACCCTAAACCCTAAACCCGAAACCCTAAACCCTAAACCCTAAACCCTAAACCCTAAACCCTAAACCCTAAACCCAGGGGTTTTTGGAATCTCCGAGACTCCAGGAGATGCCAGACACCAGCAGCCCCGGGTGTTGCGCCGTGCCGGGGACCGTCGACTCAACCTCGCCGGGGTTTAGGGTTTAGGGTTTAGGGTTTAGGGTTTAGGGTTTAGGGTTTAGGGTTTCGGGTTTAGGGTTTAGGGCTTAGGGTTTGGGGTTTGGGGTGTAGGGTTTAGGGTTTGGGTGGATTTAGGGTTTAGGGGGTTCAGTATGTTTAGGGGGTTTAGGGTTTAGGGTTTAATTGGGCGGGCTTGGGAGGTTTGTAGGGTTCAGGGGTTAGGTGTGGCATGTGCCCCTGAACCTTGGGACAGTCCTTGATAGGGATTCTAATTGGTAAGCGCTTGCGCGCGCCGCCTCGGCAGCCGGGCCGGCCCACGGGCAGGAAAAGAGGAAAGAGGGTTTCTGGGAAAGGCTTCACAAAAAAGGGCACGGGTCCCAGGAAGGGTGTGCGTGCCATCCTAGTGGTCTAGGGGGTTCTCAGGGCAGGTCCAGAAAAGGTCCAGGAGGGTGCGAAAGGACATGGGTCCGTCACAAAATTTGGCATGGGGGGAAGGGTTGGGTTAGGGGGGAAGGAGACCGGATCCCGTGTCTGCTTGTTCCAAACGCTTCTCTGCAGGAAGCCGAGGCGAATAGGGGGGCATTAGGATGTTTGTACAAGGCGGAACATCCCAACCTGAACCCGCAGTCAGCCCTCAGCCCTAAACTTCAAGACCCCAAGCCCGCAGCCCAAACCCCAAACCCCAAACCCCAAACCCCAAACCCCAAACCCCAAACCCTAAACCCTAAACCCCAAACCCTAGACCCTAAACCCTAAACCCTAAACCCTAAACCCTAAACCCTAAACCCTACACCCCAAACCCTAAACCCTAAACCCTACTAGAGGCCCTGAACCGGTTGCATGGCTTGGGGTACGTTCGAGGACCGCGGCGGAGGCGGCCGCGGGCGATGATTCCACGGAGGCGTTGCGGCGCCGCTTGGAGAGGCCCGGGGATCCTAAAGGGTTTAGGGTTTAGGGTTTAGGGTTTAGGGTTTAGGATTTAGGGTTTAGGGTTTAGGGTTTAGGGTTTAGGGTTTAGGGTTTAGGATTTAGGGTTTAAGGGTTATAAGCTCCTTAAGTGCCCGAATAGGGCTATGAGTGCAGTTATAATTGGGTCACTAACCCTCCAAGTAGGGTTTACAGGTCTTAGGTTCCTCGGATTCCCTGAAAAAAATTTCGGGTTCAGGTTCAGGGCTTTAAGGGCTTAGGGTTTAGGGTTTAGGTGCTGTTCCTTGGCCCGGTTTAGGGTTTAGGGTTTAAGGGCTAAGGGTTTAGGGTTTAGGGCTTAGGGGTTAGGGCTTAGGGCTTCGGGTTCCGGGCTTTAAGGGCTTAGGGTGTCTTTAAGGCTCTGCTTCCAGGGGTCCAGGTTGGTTGAGGGTTGTCAGGGTTGGGAGAACCATCCATTGAACTCTAAACCCTAAACCCTAAACCCTAAACCCTAAACCCTAAACCCTAAACCCTAAACCCTAAACCCTAAACCCCAAACCCTCAACCCCAAACCCTAAACCCAAAACCCTAAGCCCTAAACCCTAAGCCCGAAAGCCTAAACTTTTCAGGGCTTCAGGCTGGTGCTTTTGGGCATCGCGCTGTTCGAAGCCGATTAGGCCCTGAGGCTCCTTAAAAACCTTAGAACCAAGAACCCTAAACCCATCTGCATAAGGACCCTCAACCCCGAGAACCCTCAGCCAAGCCCCAAGCACCCTAAGCCCAAAGGACCCTAAGGCCCAAGAACCCTCAACCCCAAGGACCCTAAACCCTAAACCCTAAACCCTAAACCCTAAACCCTAAACCCTAAAAAGGACCCTAAGGCCCCAAGAACCCTCAACCCCAAGGAGCCTGGGCCCCTCAACCCCAAGGACCATAAGCCCCAGGAACCCATAAGCCCCCCAAGAACCCAGACGACCCTAAGCCCCAAAGGACCCAAGACCCAGAGAGCCAAGGATTCCTCCTTAGAATTAGAAAGGGTTCCTGACTATGATTCAAGGTAAGTTCCTTAAGTACGGGCGCTCTCAGACCCTAAACCCTAAACCCTAAGCCCTAAACCCTAAACCCTAAACCCTAAAAAGGCTGGAACAACTCATCACCGAGCACGTGCAGTCCTGCTCTCTCTGGAACAACGCAAGGGGGGACGCGGCCCAACCTCCCAAGGCTACTTTGGGAAAACCAAGCCCTAAGCCCCAAACCCTAAACCCTAAACCCGAAACCCTAAACCCGAAACCCTAAACCCTAAACCCTAAGCTGTTAGGGGTTTAGGGTTTAGGGTGTAGGGTTTAGGGTCCAGAGTTTTGGTTTGAGGTTTGGATGGGTTTCGTTGGGGTGCAGACTGTGGTCCGGGAGAGTGTCTCGGGTACAGAGTTAGGGTTCAGGGTTGAGGGTTTAAAGATTTTACGGTTTAGGGTTTAGGGGTTCTGGGGGATTTGCTGGGGCTTCTTGCGGGGTAGGGTTTACGGTTTAGGGTTTAGGGTTGGGGTTCCGGTACCTTCTGGGCGTCTGGGCGTTTTTTTGCCGGGGGAAAAGAGTCAGAACAACGATAGGGAAGCCCAAGTACGACGTAAATCAGTCTAAGAGTCAACGTAACTATCACTGCAGTACTAGTAGCCATGTACAACAATTAGAATAACAATAACAGAAATGAGAAATAATAATAACAAAAAATGCAGCCATATAAACATAGTATATATATATATGTTTGTGTAGGAAACCCCAAAATGTTAGATCATAGAGCCCTTGCACTGTCTGTTATCATGGGACGGACGGACGGACCCCTAAGTTGTTGGCGGCCCTTTTGATTTAGCGGTGTCCTAAGGGAATACAAGGGCCATATTAGGGGTATAGTAGAGGGTACATCCTCAGGAGTACGAGTCCTAGGCCCTTGATGCTATAGGGTGGGTTCCGATCAACGGCTCCACCTTGTCGCCTTTTAAGGAGGCGGCTGCAGACGGCGACTTGAACAAGATACGACTCTCCGAAGTGTACAAGGACAATGAGGAGCCATCCTCCACATGGAGGTTCCCCTAAGACCACAACCCTAAACCCTACTTTTAGGGTTTGGGGTTTAGGGTTTGCTACGTAAACCCTAAACCCTAAACCCTAAACCCTAAACCCCAAACCCTGGATCTAGAACAGCCAGCCCTCGGGTTCCGGGCCCCCGACCCTGCCATTGAACCACCCGAGCCGAAACCTCAGACCGTCTAGGGTTTAGGGTTTAAGTTTAGGGTTTAGGGTTTAGGGTTTAGGGTTTAGGGTCCTAAACGAGCAAACCTGGACGAGGAGGGCCTAGGTATAGGGTTCGGGGTTTAGGGTTGAGGGTCTGACACAAAAACGCCAAGACCCTAAACCCTAAAGCCCCAACCCAACCCCCGAAACCATCAAAAGGACAGTTTTTTTGGGGGTGGTTTAAGGTTTGGGGGTGCTGTGCACTGGGCTGAAAGTGTTGCAGGACAAGTCAGACTTTGGGTGTTGGGTTACGGGTTGGGGTTTAGGGTTTAGGGTTTAGGGTTTAGGGTTTAGGGTTTAGGGTTTAGGGTTACGGGTTGGGGTGTGGGGCGTGGGGGGCGTGGTCGCAACGCATGAAGGGAGACTGGGAGGACCAGAGGCCCAGATATAGACGCCTCATATTCAAAAGTTCTGGAACTTGCATGTGGCCCTAAACCTTAACCCCTAAACCCTAAACCCTAAACCTTAAACCCTACACCCTAAACCTTAACCCCTAAACCCGAACCCCTAAACCCTGTTTGCCTTGTACAAGGAGCCGGATGCGGATAGCGACTTGAACAAAATACGACTCTCGGGGGCGCCCAAGTCGTCGCGCGAGGAGCCATCCTTGACATGGGGGGGGGGAGGGGGGGGGGGGTATTCCATATTCGGGCCCCGCTGGTTTCAGGGTTTAGGGTTTATCGTTCAGGGTTTAAGGTTTAGGATGACCCAAAACCCCGAGCCCCAGACCCTGAAGCCCCAAACCAACCTTTAAAGAAGCGGCCCCTAAACCCTAAACCCTAAACCCTAAACCCTAAACCCTAAACCCTCAACCCTCAACCCTAAACCCTAAACCCTAAACCGGTGAAGACCTGGCTCCACAGTTGGAAGCGCAAGGCAAGCCTTTCACGAAAAGTTTAAGCACCGAAGCCCTAAGACCCCGAAGCCCTACAGCCACGAAATTCCCTGCAAACCCCTTGAAGACCACAAACCCTAAACCCCAAACCCCAAACCCTCAACCCTAAACCATAAACTGAGTGAGCCCGGGGCCGTCGAGCAGGGCGAACGCGCCGAAGCCGGCAGGCGAGGCCGCTCCGGAGCCAGAAGCCCTCCGGCGGGCGACGGAGCTCCAGTCCCGCAGGCAGCTGCGGGCTGCGCGGTGGACCCGGCAGGTCGCTGGCGAGAAACCCGTCAGGTCGCCCTAGAATAAGATACCCCAAACCTTCGGGTAAAACATCGCAAAATTTTGCCCGTGCCCGAGGCCCCTGCCTGGGAGGCCCCTGCCTGGGGCGGCCCCTGCCTGGAGGCCCCTCCCAACCCCTGCCTGCCTGTCTGAAAAGCCCCCCTGGCTGGGAGGCCTTGCCTGGGGCCCGGCCTGGGAGGCCCCTGCCCCTGCCAGGCCCCTGCCTGGAGGCGGGCCCCTCCCTCTGAGGCCCCTGCAAGGCCCCTGCCTGGCAACCCCTGCCTGGGAGGCCCCTGCCTGAAAGGCCCCTGGGAGGCCCCTGCCTGGGAGGCCCTGCCTGGGAGGCCGGGAGGCTGAGAGGCCCTGGCTGGGAATGCCTGGGCCCCCCCTGCCTGAAAGGCCCCTACCTGGGAGGCCCCCTGCCTGGAGGCCCTGCCTGGGAGGCCCCTGCCTGGGAGCCCCTGCCTGGGAGGGCCCCTGCCTGGGAGGCCCTGGGACTTGAGCTGCAGCTGGGAGGCCTGGAAGGCCCCTGCCTGGGACCCCCTGCGTGGGAGCCCTGACTCTGGTCTGAGGATTTTTGCAAGGGATCCAGATCCCCAGCCAGGACGCAGCATGCAAGGGCAAAGGCGGCAGCCAGCCCCAAGCCCAAACCTTCGGGTTTTGAAGTTTTGGAAAAACTTGCTGGGAGGCTGTGGCCCCCTGCCTGGGACTGGATCTGCTTACCCGGCCTGAAAAACAGGCCTTGGCCTGAGGTGCCTGGCCCTTTCAGCTAGGGATCCAGATCCCCAACAAGACGCACTGGGAGGCCCCTTCGAACGAAGGGAGGCCCTGGGAGGCCCCTGGCTGGGAGCTGCCTGGAGCCCCTTGCCTGGCTTTGGTCTGAGGATTTTTGCAAGGGATCCAGATCCCCAGCCAGGACGCAGCATGCAAGGGCGAAGGCGGCAGCCAGCCCCAAGCCCAAACCTTCGGGTTTTGAAGTTTAAGAAAACTTGCTGGGAGGCTGTGGCCCCCTGCTTGGGACTGGATCTGCTTACCCTGCCTGAAAAACAGGCCTTGGCCTGAGGTGCCTGGCCCTTTCAAGCTAGGGATCCAGATCCCCAGACGCAGCATCACCAAAAACAAAAGGCGACAACCAGCCCCAAGCCCAAACCTTTGGGTTTTTCACTTTTAAAATGATTCACAAGGCCACCACGACTCCAACAAGGTCCAGCTGCAGCATCAGCGAAAGCGAAGAGACAAGAGAAAAATAGCAAAAGCACGATCAGAGTTCAAAAGAACCCTAAACCCGTAGAGGTTAAGGCGAGGGTGGAGTGCCAGCGGGGGTGGGCTTATGCAACTCGGGGCGCGCGCCTGGGTGCTTTCAGCACCAGCGCGCCCACTCATTGAGACACCCTAAACCCTAAACCCTAAAACCCTAAACCCTAAGCTCTTTAAGGCCCCAAGCCCGGAGACACAAACCCCTCCCCCCCAAAAAAAAGAAACGCTTGGGAAGTCCTGAGGACGCCTAAACCCCTAAACCCCTAAACCCCTAAACCCCTAAACCCCTAAACCCCTAAACCCCTAAACCCTAAACCCCTAAACCCCTAAACCCCTAAACCCCTAAACAAACCCTAAACCCCTGAACCCCTGAACCCCTAAACCCCTAAACCCCAAACCCTAAACCCTAAACCCTAAACCCTAAACCCGAACCCCTAAACCCTAAACCCTGAACCCTAAACCCCAAACCCGAAACCCTAAACCCTAAACCCTAAACCCTAAACCCTAAACCCTAAACCCTAAACCAAAAGAAGCGCTTGGGTGGCCCTGAGGAGCTCGACGCCTTCGGGCCAGTTCTCCCGGCGGCGGTGGGCGCCAGCATGGAGGACTTGGGCCCCCAGGCCGGAGACTCAGAGCCGCTCAGGGTTTAGGGTTTAGGGTTTAGGGTTTCGGGTTTAGGGTTTGGGGTTCAGGGTTTAGGGTTCAGGGTTTAGGGTTTAGGGTTTCGGGGGTTTCAGGGGGCTTTAGGGGGTGTTTTGGGTGTTTTTGGGGGGTTTTTGGGCGTTTAGGGTCTGGGGGTTTTGGGGGTTTTTGGTTTTAGGGTTTGGGGGCTTAGGGGGGTTTGAGGGTGCAGGGCTGAACCCCGAATAAACCCCAAAGCCTTGGATCCTTTTCTGCCCCTAACCCGCACAAAAGCCCTAGGAAACCCCATAAGGCCCTAAACCCTAAACCCGAAACCTTAAACCCTGAACCCTAAACCCTAAACTCTAGACCCTAAACCCTGAAACCCTTAAACCCTTAAACCCTTAAACCCTTAAACCCTAAATCCTAAACCCTAAACCCTTAAACCCCTAGACCCCTAAAACCCTAAACCCTAAACCCTAAACCCTAAACCCTAAGCCTTAAACCCTAAACCAGTCCTGAAAACTTGCAGCCAGAGGCCGCGCGTCAAACCCCGGACGCTCCAGGCCTGGACTTACTTACCTAAAGACTCCAATCTCCCTTAAGTAAAGGTTTAGGGTTTAGGGTTTAGGGTTCAGGGTTTAGGGTTTAGGGTTTAGGGTTTAGGGTTTAGGGAAGGAATATACCCTAAATCATCTTCGGGATCCTACTATACTTTAGCGTATATTCCTCAGTTCAGGGATATTGGAGTCTCTGGGTCTAGCCCCTTGTTTTCTCGGCTGTTTTATGATTACCATCTCTATCACTATCGCGATCACTATCGCTGTTACGATTACGATTTCGATCATGATTCCTGTTTCGTTTTCCTATCGCTATTACTATTACTATTGCTATTGCTATTGCTGGTGCTGGTGCCGTTGCTATTACTATTGCTATTGCTATCGCTTTTGCTTTTGCTAGCGATTACAGCTGTGACTCATTAGAGTTATAGTTGGAGACAAAGCAGTAAGCATGATGAGCTATAGTTAGGAGAAAAAGTAATAAGCATGATCATTATGACTGATCATTTACCATGAAAACTCTGGTTGAACGAAAGTTAGACTCTGAATTCTAACTCTGCTGTTCGTACTCCTCTGCTTCTTCATCAACTTACATAGTGCCATACACAGCTATTATCATGTATTTTTGGGGGGGAGGCGAGGGGGCCTTGAGGGAGATCAGCTTCTTAGGTTTCGGGCCCATAGCTACATAGTCCCTTCGTACGGGCGCCCTTAGAAGGGGAACACATTAGAGACCCCTAACCCTAAACCCTGAACCCTGAACCCTAAACCCTAAACCCTAAGCCCGAAAACCCGAAACCCTAAACCCTAAACCCTAAACCCGAAACCCTAAACCCTATCAAACCCAGGGGCCCAAACTTCAGAAACCTCTGAAGAAGGTACTGGGAGGTCCAGGGTACTTTGTCACCCAATTGTATCTGTACGTATAACCCAATTATCACCCTATTAGGGCACTTCAGGGCCTCATAAGTGGGTTATAGCCACACTTACAAGTCGGTACTAAGAGTGTATCTGCACGTATAACCCAATTATAACCCTATTAGGGCACTTAAGGAGCTTATAAGTGGGTTATAGCTACAGCTTATACTTGGTTACTAAGTACCCTTAACCTCCAAGTAAGGGACCATACTAGGGACCACGTAACTACCCTAAGGAGCAGGTCAGCACTCTCCGCCCTGTGGCCCGTAAAGCCCTCTGAACCCTAAACCCTAAACCCTAAACCCCAAACCCGAAACCCGAAACCCGAAACCCGAAACCCTAAACCCCAAACCCTAAACCCTAAACCCTAAATCCTAAACCCTAAACCCTAAACCCTAAACCCTAAACCCTAAGCCCTAACCCTAAACCCCAAGCCCTAAACCTAAGCCCTGAAGACGAGCTGCAGTCCCGCACGCCCCTGGCAGGCATGATGACGAGTCTGGGTTCCTGTTAAGGAACATACATTGTGTAGGGTTTACGGCTTAGGGTACGGTACTTTAGTACAGTAGTTTAAGATACCATCATATAATATATATATATATATGTATATGTATGTTCACAAATTTTCAAATATGGAAATCTATATATATATATACACTTATTTATTCATTATTTAAAATTAAACCCCAGACCCTAACCCCTAAAACCCGAAACCCAAAACCCTAAACCCTAAACCCCAAGTCCTTTATTCCAAGGAGCGGCCTCGCGGAGCTCTCCGCCACCTTCAGGCACCTCTTCACACACAAGAGGACGGGCAGAACACCCTAAACCCTAAAACCCTAAAACCCTAAACCCTAAACCCTAGCCCTAAACCCTAAACCCTAAACCCTAAACCCAAAACCCTAAACCATTTTGCTCTTCACGCACACGAGGACGGGGAGTGCCGGCAGCGCCAGCCCTGCGAGCATCACGCACGTGGACCACGCGTTGCAGGAGTCTT